AGAGATGGGGAGGGGGAGAAAGAGACAGAGAGGGAAGAATGAGACACGAGGAATAGAGAGATGGGGAGGGGGAGAAAGAGACAGAGAGGGAAGAATGAGACACGGGGAATAGAGAGATGGGGAGACAGAGAGGGAAGAATGAGACACGGGAGAAAGAGGGGGAATAGAGAGATGGGGAGGGGGGAGAAAGAGAGGGAAGAATGCCCCCCCTCCCCTGTCCGCAGGCACCGTGCGGGCAGGGGAGGAAGAGAGGACCTGGGAGCTCACCCTGCAGCTCCTCAGGGTCCTTCTTGCGCGAGCACAGAGCGTTGCCGCGGTTACCATGGCAACGTTACTGCTCTTGCGAGAGTCAACTCTAGCCCTGGAGCTACGGGCTAGAGTTCACTCTCAACACTGTAACCCCCATGGATTCCTGGTGGTCGCAGTGGTGAGAGTGAACTCTAGCCCCATAAACACACTGCCCCCACACACACACCATACACATTCACACACTGCCCCATACACACCATACACATTTACACACATTGCCTCACACACACACATACACTGCCCACCCATATACACACAGACCCCCATACACAGCCCCCCATACTAACATTGCCACACACATACATTGCCCACACACCCTACACATTCACACACTACACCCCCACACACACACTGAACCTTTCACACACATTGCACCACTGCTCCTATTCCCTACTACAGCCTCATATCCCAGCAGACCCCAGGTAAGTTGACAAACTGTTCTTAAACGGTTTGACTACTTACTCTGGAGCAGTAGTGGTTATTGTGCATGGATTATTTCTTTAAATAATCTACAAGTGCCCCAGTAGCCAGCCAGCCAGCCAACCCACAGGCTGGCCAGTAGCCAGCCAGTTAGCCAGCCCACAGGCCAGTAGCCAGCCCACAGGCCAGTAGCCAGCCCACAGGCCTACAGCAAGCCACAGGCTTACAGCAAGCCACAGGCTTACAGCCAGCAAGTCACAGCCTGCCAGCCGCAGCCTGCCAGCCGCAGTCAGCAAGCCCACAGCCTGCCAGCCGCAGCCAGCAAGCCCATAGCCTGCCAGCCGCAGCCAGCAAGCCCACAGACTGCCAGCCAGCAACAGTAATTAAGGTAAGAGGAGCCAACTTGGCTTAGGTATCAGCGAGCTATGTTGTGTTGCTATATTGTGAATAGGAACCAGAGTGTTGGAGAGACCACCCTCCAGGCCCCATTAGACTCTAGCCTCTGCTAGAAATCCCCTCCATGGCCCATTAGCCCTCAATTGTAGTTTCTACTGGGGCCTGGAGGCGACTGTTTCCAGCAGGGGATATCTAATGGACGCTGAGATGGCCTCTGTTAGAAAGACCCCCTTCCAAGCCTTTTAGACTCCATTGTAGTCTCTAATGGGGCTTGGAGGGGATTCTATCTAACACACTCTCTAAAGGACACTGAGATAGCCTCCGCTAGAAAGACCCCCCTCCATGGCCCATTAGCCCTCAATTGTAGTCTCTACTGGGGCCTCGAAGGGCTTATTGCCCTTTTGTTCCTTGTGTCTAAAGATTGTGTAGGGTGTGGCTGGAGGCGGTGCATGGAGGCGCTTGCTGCAGAGTATGGGTGGGCCCTGTAAGGGGGCCCTTGATTTATTTTGCCCGGGGGCCCTGAGGGTTCTCAGTCCGCCCCTGGTACTATATAGTGCCAGTCAAATTTAATTCCTACATCAATAGTGTTAGGTTGGATGAGTACAGTATAAAGCACCAAAATCCAATGTCACAGTTCATCATTAAAGGACCACTATAGGCACCCAGACCACTTCAGCTTAATGAAGTGGTCTGGGTGCCAGATCGATCTAGGGTTAACCCTGCCTGCTGTAAACATAGCAGTTACTTAAAGCTTTGAAGAAACCCATCACATCTGAATAAAAGTACAGTTACAATTAACTCATCTCTGTATTGCTACAAACCTTGACAAAGCTTATAAAAAAAATAAAAAAAATGAAAATTAAACAGGACAGTCCCTCTTATCTGGTCATGGCACCACAAAACCAGAGCTTCTCTTTTCATTTATCACTTGAGGAAATAATGACAGTTCTGCAGTGTAATCTGTTTGCGACGAAACATTAATATGTTAAAAGATTAACTGCCCATTCCCACAAGACACTGCAGTTTCCCCTTCTCATGGCCCCAACACCTACATATGCAGAGGTCAGGACCTCAGCACTGACGCAACTCACACCAGGAGTTTTTTTTTGTAAGACAGGACAGAGGAGGCGTTGGGAGGGAACAGGGGAGGGGGGAATTCCAAGCTTCTGCATCAAACACTCAAAACAGAATGCATGGGTTTTATAAAGATTAATGCTGCTTGCCAATTTGCAGAAGTGGTAACCTTAGCAACTCGTGTTTGAACTACATTTCCCATGATGCTCAACCAGTAGGCATCAACATCTGGTGGTAGTGATTAATAAGCCATCAGTTGGCAATAATCCAAAACACCTCTAAAATCACTATATTTATGTTAAAAGTATACATTATCGAATTGTATTGGGCAATAAAAGTTTTCAGGTGATCTCTGATTTCTGTGACTTCGATCACAGAGCCCATGCAATGCTGTTACTATTCTTGACAAGAGAAACAGGGCAAACATGTTTGTCTATCAGAAAGCGCAAAAACAGATCCGAGGTGGTTGCTTTTCATTTTTCAGTAATAGAATTGAAAAATTGCATTCACTAAAGTGAGAACTGTCCGGAAATAAACATGAATTTCAAATTTAACTAAAAAAAATAAATAAAATTTAGTTAAAATGAAAACATTTTAAGTTAAGCTATTTCGGTCCTGAATTTCAAGTTTACTTTGAATTCAAGAATTCTCACCTTTACTGATTAACCCAGTAAAGGCATTCTTGCAATCCTGTGCAATGGGAGCTATTGTCTAAGGAGTATATTCACTAAACGGAGATAAGAGTTACTCCCTTTTCAGCAAGGTCTAGGAGGAAACAAATTTCAGTTTCTGGTGTTTACAAGTTTTGACCATTTCGAGGCTTAATCACGTGACAAGGCAGAGGAGAGTTTATATCTAATGTGGCGTTAGAAGCATAATCCAGTACCCTCAGGTGGACTCAAGATCATGAACAAATAGAACTGCTTTTGTTTTATTTAAATCTCAAACTTGCACATTTACAAACTCTGGGAGCAGTATCCCTGCACCGGAAAACAAAGTGTGTACAAAACAGAAATGAAAAAAAAGAAATAGATAGAGAGATTGTCCCTTTATCCTCAGAGGGAGCAAGAATCAGTCACAGCTGGGAGTCTGCAGGAATGGCTTATGTATCCGTCCAAAACCTCAATCAGCATCCCACTGGTCGGTCCACAATCCCAGATATATAGGATTTCACAAAGTAGTTTTCTGGGAAATAAGCGTGGGAAGGGAGACGTGACCAGCCGGAAATGGGTTAAGTCATTCTGGGCATGGGGCCACATATGGGGGACAACCTAAAATGCTTCATAGTGGATGCCACATTATGAAGCACACTGAACACCTTCTGGAAACCCCTGGTAGGGAAAATATTTGGAAGAAGGACCTGAATAGGGAGATATCCTGTACAAAGTACCGTATAATTATATAGTGATCCATACACTCAGATGCCATAAATTACAAAAGAAAATGAGTTTCATAAATAGAATCCTTTGAATCTGAAATATAAAAATGTACGCCTTCTCAAAGTTCAGTTTGTTTTATATCCTCAAGTGCAAAAAGTCCAGTTCTTCCTGCATTCCGGGACATTTGGCACAAGATTCAGATGCCACCAGATCCCTGGGTGGAGTGGTGGGACGGGACAAAGAAGAGAGTGGGGACTCTGGTCAAACAAATTCTGATCTCAGATAACCAGTAGCTGTTATGGAGCAGATTTCCATGGGCATGAAGGCAGAGTCTACGCAGGCTGCTGAGGATTGATGTTTAGATGAGCAGGCTGCCCCAGGAGACCGATCCTCTGCTTCTGTTTCCGTTGCTCTGTCATCTGGAGAGACCGATGAGATGGTGAATAAACATGCAACTAAGCCCCTATACTCTATGTACAAATAATCACTTTACAGGCATGCAGGTGAATTCTATGGTAATTTACAAAGACAAGCATGCAACTCTCAATGCCCCCAAGTTGGACAGCAGATTGCTTAATTTAGCAGAATGAACCCTCATTCTCAATATATGTGCATCTAGACCAGGGGTGCCAAAAACGGATCAGATTTTTTTGTGTGTGCCCAACCGTTAGATCCCCAGATGTTGTAGGGAGGTGCATTTCTACAACATCTGGGGATCTAACGGTTGGGCACACTTGGTCTGGACCAGCGTTTCCCAATTGGGGTTCCGCCAAAAGTGGGTGGAGTAAACCATTACAAAAAAAAAAAATTGTATGTGTGAGTTAGGGAGTTATGTGTGTGTGTGCAAGTGTGTATATGTGTGTCAGATACACACCCACCAGCACATACAAACACAGATACACACAGATACACACCTTGACACACAGATTCACACTGTGTGTGTCAGATACACACTGGCAAATAAAAAAACGGCACAATATTTAATTTTTTTCCCAGGGTGGGGGGACTACTCTGGTCTAGACTATACACAAATTCCATTCCCCCTCCCCCTAGTTTGACACCACAAGGTAGGTGATAAATCAATGCCCAAGATATAAAGCCTAGAATCACCACCCAAAATTGCATTCTTGAAGAGGTATATGTATAACTGCCTTGCGCCAATTACCTGATCTTTGAGCTCGCTGAGCTGGCTTGACAGGTTGGTTACCAGTCTCATGGTGGATTCCAACTTCTCTTGCAGATTCCTCAGCTCATTCTGCTCTCCCTCTGAGTCACTGCTCACTAAAGACATTGCGCGCATGCGTGGGAACCAGTCTAAATTGCGTTCCTGGGGAGAGAGCAAGAACGTGTAAGGAGCCTCTAAAATACTGTTGATTACTTGTTACACATAGGAAAGTCCCCACAGCTAACTGATAGTTCAACAAGTACAGGGAACAAATATAATTTTATTTTTTTTTCCCTTAAAACAAAAACTCGCATCACTCAAGCAGGTTTTAAAATGTCAAAAGTAATAAAAAAATGTAAAGGTTAAATTAATTTAAAACTACACTGTACAGTGTATGAGTTTATAAACATAGGGACATCTGGTCAACTCATAAGCTGCAAAACCATGCATGCTTTCTTTAATGTAATTATGTGCCAAATATTAAATTAATATTCTACACTAGTGTTATGATTTGTTTTATTTTAAATGAAACAGGATTGATGAGCCATTTTAGGTCAAATTGAGAAAGAAAAATAAATAAAATATATATCTATATATCTATCTCCCAATTCGTAGTTTAGAGAAGAAAATCCCTCTGGTCAGATTAGACTGCTGTGTGTGCTCGCTGTTAAAAGGAGTAATGAGTATTCAGAGACGTCAGCTAGGCGGCTGAACTGCACCTACTTTTCTCATTCCAGACTAAACCCAGCAGTGCAGAGTTTCCCATTCTAAATTGTTTAACTACCCAGTGATGCCTAAACAAGGCACACAGCAGATAGTGTGATCTACATTATACGCGATGCTCTGCCAGCCTCAAGCTGGCTATGCATTATGGGAAATGCAGTTTGCAATCACTTGATAACAAGCTAAGCCACTGAAACAACTACTGCATTTATCCAAGAATTGCTCTTAAATAAGCTGCTCATCCTTCTATCAAATACCCCAGAACACAGCAGCAACCCCCCCTTCCCTACCCACAACTTCCGTCTAGCAGATGTGCTTAAACCGCAAAACAATTTGTTTCTAAGTAAAGCCACTGGAAAAGTCCCTTGGACACAACCTCTCACCCAGACATTGGGGGGAGAGCTCAGGAAGCACATGAGAGGGTGGGAGGGGGAAGCATACTGAAAGCTGCACACCAGTGTGTCAAAAAGGAACAGCTAGTGTAAGAGTTGACAAGGGCACAGCTGGTTTGCAGAATTCTCCACGTTCTTTATTCCTCGTGCACATTTGGCATACATATTGTAGACACCTTTGTGTACCTGTCCCAAGACATTGTGCATCTTTAAGCATAAACCCCCTGGCAGTGGCAGGGTTAAAAGGTCACACCATCAACACGTGGCTGCTCAGACTCAAACACACACTTAACTGTGCAGAGCATGTGACAAGAGGAAAAGGGCTAATAAGCATAGCTCACGTGTCTCCTCGCATCCTACACAGACCCCAGTCTGCTAGAACCACACTCGTGCATTCACAACACAGGCCCACTCAGATTGTAAAAGATTTTATATCGCAACAACCAGACCAAATTTTTTTAATTTTTTTTTTTTTTAAATGTCTAAACAGTAAGGAGGAAATGCAAAACAATCTTAAGATTTTAACAATTGACAGCCACATAAACGTGCCAAGCCTTGGCACATTAATTGTTAATAGACATCCTATGAAGGGGGCCCATGGCTGAATGAAAGTGCATAGCCATGGGCAGTAATGGGTGGTCTTTCAAATCTTGGGAGACCGTAATCCGAGTTAAAGGTCAGCCCCCGTACAGGAAACAATTCTGCAACCCCAGGGCTGATGAGAAATCAGCAGTTTATTCCATCAACTGACCCACCCACCAGATTATTCAATTTTTGCCAGCAAGATTATTTTTCCCATCTACCGAGGCTAATGTCTCATCCTTCTGTCTGATTCAAAGTGGAAGAGTGGGTGGGAAAGGGCATAGTCAGGTCAAATATGCATTAGCATTGCTTGTATGCTAGAGCAATAGTTCTACAGTTTCCAAGCAATTATGCAGTTCACGTTTGAAGGGGAACAGGGACGTCAAAGGCTCCAGAAGGCATCGAAGGGAGGGACTACAAAATGTCACAAGCAGACCAGAAAAAAAAAAAAAAAAAAAGTGGTGAGGACCTTAACCTCCCAACATCCAGTAGTAATGCAGATGGATGCAACAAATAATTTGTGCACAAATAACAGTTCCTATTTATTTATGAATAGCTTAATTCGGCTAATTTCATGAATTACACATGTCTATTTACACTGCTCCAGCAAAGAACAGTCATAGCCTCCTTCAATATAAACATGACTTTTACAGCCAGTGGAAGCAACTAGTGTTTACAGCAGGAAAGGCATGTTGGCTATAAGGAACCGATTACAGGGAGAGAAACTTTGTAAGGAGTACAGATCCCCAAAGTTTTTGAAATGCCCATTTAAAAGACCACTAAAGTGGCCATGCAGCGGATCTGTCATTTTAACATAAAAATACTGCAGTTTTTAAACTGGGGTAGGCAACCTTTTAGTATTGTGCCGAAACAAGATCTTGAACACCCTTTGTGTGCCAGCTTTATAACATTGTATTTGTGTTTAGGTGGGCTGTTTTTTTATATGTTCATGGGTAGTTTGTGGTATTGTGGATGATACCTATGAATGTGGGCTCTGTATGGAGGTTGCTTGTGGAACGGTGTATTTGCATGAAATGTCTGTGTGTGTGTGTGTGTGTGTGTGTGGGGCTGCTTGTGGTATTGCATGTGAAATGTGGCTAGTGGGGTTGTGAACGTGTATGTGGATGGTCAGTGTTGTGTTTGTATACGAGTGGGAGGCTTTGTCAACAGTTTTGTTTATATCTAGCAATGTGGATGGCTTCCCTTGGGGTCTAGTGGGAACCGGGATGGCCAGTTACAGGTAAAAGGCAGGGCTGCGACAGCCTGCTCTACTCCAGTGCAGATTCCCATTCACAAGTGCTGGGAATAAGTGATCTAAGATCACTTCCTCTAAGTGCTTCAATGCCTAAATTGAAGATTGATAATTGCACAAGCAGATATCTGAAGCCCCACTGGGACTCCTGAGCCAGTGTGGCTCTGGCAGCCTCGAGTGCATTACAAATGTGATAGGTTGCTGACACAAAAGCGCATAGGAAAACAATGAACAGGATGCACTTGAGTTCTCCATTGTCTGGAGCATTTACACTGAACCATCACCAAATGAGGTCATGCCACCTCCATGACATCGCAGTATGCTGAGGTGAGCAGCACTGAAAGCCTTGGTACAGGAAAAAAAGTGAGTAAGACCTTTAGTTTTTTTTCAGGAAAAAGGAGAGGAATTACATGCAACTAAGGAAACGGCCACTATAGCGTTTATTCAATGTGCGATAATAGGTCCTTAGATAATTATGCATAGAAGCATTTTGTCTGAGTGTTCGCGTCAGTATGGTCACCAGTAATGACAATTATTTAATCATAACTAGGAAAACCTGAACTTGCATTTATATGTAGGACAATGGGTGCAACCAGATACTGAATGAGGCCTATAACTGACATGAGTGCGATTCTGCCAACACCGTGTAACCTTTCGCACCTTTATCATTTCTGCTACGTAACTTTCTGGTCCAGTATACTCTGTGGAATCTTTCACCTTCACCAATACTATAAAACACAGATAATGCCACATATTGTGCTCTTCTTTAATATGCTCCTCAAAGGTCACAGTCTTATTGTCAAACTTGTCCCGTTCTAGGCCTACAGAGGGACACAAGATCAAAGGTTAGATTAGATACACTGAGAAATCTATAAAAATAAAAAAAATAAAACATTATTGCCTTTTCAACAAGAACATAGCTACCAGACTTACCACAAATGAAACAGGTGGTCTTTAAAACTTCCTCTTTCTTTTGCTTTTCACTTCTCAAGTCAGCAAATGTGTCAATGATTACTCCAAAAATTAAGTTCAGGACGATAATAATCACCATGAAGAAGAATAGCAGATCATAGATCACACGGGCAGCAAAAAGTGGCTCCTGTCAGAAGGGATACATCTCAGTCAGCATCTGTCTTTAATTCGTGGGATGAAGGAGTGTGTAACTAGCCAGACGAGACATGTGGTAAAGGTTTCTGAAGTCTATGCAAACACCGTGATAGGACATACTAGAGCATGGCTACATAGGTCGTATACTGTCCAGATTGTTTAACCTCTACTCCATTAAATATTTTATACCACAAATCTTTTGTTGATAGCATGCTTAGTGTGGATACTGGAAAAGCTGGTAACATTACCTCTTTGGAAGGTTTCCTGAGTACGTCTCCAACACCTCCACCACTACGCAATCCATGACTTAGGACTGTGACAATGCACATTAGAAGGGTCTCACAAGTGTGTTCCTTTTCTTCTTCCTCCTCCACATCCTGTGATGTGTCTTCTACAAGGAAAGATTCATTTAAATTAACCGTTCCCACCAGTTCTTTTCCATTGAGTGTAGGCATCAACACAAGCAAGAGTTAACCAATTTCCATTCCCAAATGCACAGTTTAGGACTATTATCTACTTACCTTGAGTGCAATTACTTCCAGACTCCATCCGACAAACCTCTGCATACAGTAATTCCCTAGTCATGGTGCCTCCAGTCTCTAAAAAGTAGAGAAGAGTGAACATGAAGCATGGTGGAAGTCTTTATAAATATATATTATATATACAGGAAAATGTTACATAATAGGTATGCTATTCCATAGTATTTACAATTATTGTGTATACGTAAAGTTTAGAGTGAAATATCTACAATAAGCATCATAATATAACTTGTGCAGTAGAAAGTATGATTATGCAGGGAATCTATTATAAAAGACAGAATTATTCTTTATAGTCCTTAGGCTCTCTTGATTCTGGAGTATAGTAATCCCAGATCAAAAAAAAGAGGGCCTAGAACCGTAATGTTCCAAACATTCCAGTGACTTTCACATCGTAAAGTTATAACATATACAACATACAAAAATAAAGAGGAGACAAGCCCTTGGAGAGAGAGATAGATTGATCTTGCCCCTTCTCCGTACAGGTTGGAAAGATGGGTGTTGTGTTTTTTATATGGATTGGGACCATGCTGTTATGGTTCGTTACCCGCTTTTTTCCCCCTTGTTTATCCCAGGGTTTATAGGGTTTGTGAGATTTAGCCCTGAAGTATATTCTTTCAGTATTTATACCACACCGACCAATGTTTTGTATTTATTTTGATATTCCCATTATTAAAGAATATAGGTTTTTCTATTTTTCTCGTTTGAGTTATAATTGCTCTCCTATTGGGGGATTTCTCCTCTTTTCCAATACCTTAATGTACTTTGACATGTCAGAGAAATCAAGATGAAAGCAAGTTTTCAGGGGATAGATCAGATGTTTAATTTGAGATCCCTAAATAATTGTAAGATAATCTTTAAATCTGAAAGAAGAGGACATTCCCACCAAATAGGTTTTAAAGCACCTACATCTCTTTTACACCACCAACAGTTAGTGGGGTTGGATTGATATTTACATATCTTAATGGGATAAAGATACCATACATTTATAAGTTTATAAAATGATTATTGTATATTTACAGTGTATTGTTTTCTTAAAATAGTTTAAAAGATTTTACCCAAGAAGCAATGGGAAAAGACTTACCCAAATCATCTTCCCATTTTACAATGGTCTTTATTTTAGATGTTTATGCATTTCTGTTGATCTCTCTGATCTTTATAGGTTTCCCTAATCAAAGCCTGCAAATCATTGGGCCCAGAGGGGATTGGTTCACCAAAAGATTTTTACTTTTTTTTTTTTTTAAGATTCTCAGATAAAAAAAAACTCTGCCTGACAATCCATATCTGTAGATCAGGAAAAGTTTGAATCAAATTATCCGTATATATATCCTCCACTGTAGTTATACCATCTTCATTCCAGCCCTAGATATTTAAGTCTATTATGTGGAATTTTAGTACAACCTCTACTGAAAGTTGGTTTTGAGAGAAGAAAAGCTTTTTAATTGAAAAAAAAAAAAAAAAAAAAGATTTAAAAATCTGATGTATTATGAAGTGATCAATGTGTAAATCTTTAAAGGTTTTATGGTCAACCCAGAATAAATGGAACAGGTTAAGATTACCATTTTTTTCATAAGTATACCAAGCTTTATTCAAGGAATTTCTATTCCCCAATTCCAAAAAATGTGAGAACACAGTATCATGTAAAGAGAAAACATTTGGGAAAGCTAATCCACCCTCTGTCCTCCTTGCAGTCATGATTTTAAATTGACTTCTCTTTTCCCGATTACAAAAAAAGTTAAATAATCTATGAGACATAGTTAATTGTTTCTTCGTTACTCTTATAGGGAGGGTTTGGAAAAAGATATTCCAATTTGGGCAATGTATATGCTTTCAGAATGTTTATTCTACCCAGCCATGAAATATGGAATTTAATCCTTTTATTTCTCTAATTTCTTGCAAGCATTTACTATAATTCTTATCTATCCAAGAATTTATATCAAAATTAATTTCTATTTCCAAATATTTAACTGTTTTATTGCACCAATTAAATTTATGATTCCAAACCAAGGTTTGGACGTTTGTAAGATTACTTGAAATAATCAGTTTTTTTGTATATTAATTTTGTAATTCGAAAAGTGGCTGAAGTCATTGATACAGACTAAGATTTCAGAAATTGAGATCTCACGGCGAGAAATGGTTAAGATAATATCGTCTGCATATGTTATTTTTTTGTTCATGATTATCTTGAAGGATTCCAGATATTTTAGTTGACTTCCTAAAATAAGCTGCTAATGGTTCAATTGAAAGGATATACAGCAGTGGTGCAAGTGGGCAACCCTGCCATGTATGGTTTTTAATGTTGAACCCACGTTTAGCCCATTTCCATACATTTTTGCCTTATGATAGGAATATGGAGCCATAGGTAGGTCTTTAAAAGTCCCCTTCTATTCCAAAAGCTGAGAATGTTTCAGCTAGATAAGACCAGTTAACTCTGTCAAACGCTTTTTCAGTGTCGACAACAATAAGGACAGAAAGAAGTTGCTCTTTATCTTCAATATCATATTTAAGATTTTCTGTACGTTGTCACCACCCGATCTTGCCTTGACAAATCCAGATTTATCATTATGAATTAAAGAAGGAATAACCTGACCAAGTCTGACTGCTAAATTTTTAAAAACATTTTTATTTGCAGATTTTTCAAAGAAATCGGACAGGAGTAGCTTATAAAGTTAGGGTCCCTTCTAGGCTTTAGAATGGGAGAGATGGTAGCACCCAGCAGGTCAGACAATTTCTTAAATTGGGTTAGTTCACTAAAAAGTTGCATAATAATGGGGTAATTGATTCAAAGGATTTATGAAATATAAAGGTATATACATCAGGGTTGGGATACTTGCCATTCAAGTTTCTTTTTTGTTTCTTTCGTAGTTATAGGTTTATTTAATTCTATAAGATTTTCAGGTTTAACAAAAATGATTTGAGTTCTGGTTGTGTAAATTTAGCTGTTGGAAGGTTATATAATAAAGTGATAATTTGCAAAAGATAGAAGCCTCTTATGAAACACGTTCATCTCCTCCCTTCAAGCACCCAATTTCCTTTGATGGCAATTATTTAGTTCTGGGGTAGGCAACCTTCAGCACTAGGTGGACTACATCAATCCTGAATCTTTGCCAGCATTATGGCTGTAAGAGAGGGAGATCTAGTCTACCACACCTGGAGTTCTAAAGATTGCCTACCCCTAGTATAGGTTTTAAAGGAGGATACACATACTATAGCCATTTTTTTTTCCGCACCCCTCAGAGGGGCTGTCTGTTCCATTTCAACAATTTCTGCAATAAAATTAGGATTTTTTTAACAGGAAACTGCAGAATAGCATCTACACCTATCTTAAGCTTGGTTTTTGTGTAGTTTGTTTTAAGAATTATGGCTTATTTGTACTGTTAAAATTGCAAAATTAAATCAGCTATTTTAGCCTTCGTTTTGTAACTCCGATTTAATTTGATATAATTCAAGTTTAGTGAAAAACACTGAAAGCTAATCTCATCAGCATAGGCTAGTTCTGAAGACACCAACCCCAGGATACCTCAAGGGTACATGGCAAATAGGGAGTCTGTCAGGGGCTCTAACTCTATTTGAGCTGTAGTTGGGTCAATATCAATTGAGGTTTAGGCACTTTGATTGTATAGACTTTTCAGCCAAGAATTTCAAGACAGGGTACTATAGCTCACCAGGGAAAGAAGTTTCATTGGGCAGCCTGTCCACTTCAAGTATGAAGTCATCCTTAAAGAAGAGATATCCAACAATTGAGAAGAGGTAGACCAGGATTAATGCCAAGACAGCAGTGAGAATGATTGAGCGCCCATTTCTGGTCACACTTTTTATCACATTGAGAAGTGTCTCTTCCCGGTATACAAGGTCAAAGAGCTGGGAAGACAAATCAGCAAGTTACTCAACTGTTTACCTAAACATTTACTCCAAGAAATAAAGTTCCCCTGAATTATTCATGGAACTATTTTGAGACTTTATGAAACAGCCACATTCTTACCAACAAACTGTAAAAAAATTCATGCACAAAGACACCCATAGCGCAGATAAGCAGGTAGAGCAGGTGATAGAGAAACTCCACATCCAGAATCATTGCTCCATAACCCCTCGTAAATGTACCGCGGTTCCCCACAAAACTGGTTAAGAATATAATCTTATTGCAGACCTGGAACAAAAAACAAGCTCCATTCAGGTAATCACTTCACTTTTTTTCCAAAGCTAAAATTAAGATGGTTCAGTACAGGGTCTGGAAGCTAGCCAACAGGACAACAAATCAACACCTCAAAAAGGAACACTGAGCAGTAGTAGGCAGATGTCCAATGGCTAAGTGTGTTTTCAAGACGGCAAAATAATAAGACGTAGGAAACTTACATTAAATGCTCCTAGCAGGAAAAGGGTGGGCTGCAACCCAATTGAGAATATGAGGCGCAAGATGGTAGAAGCTATTAATGCACGGATTCCATGAGGTTTTGGAAGGACTATAACTATAGCCAGAGACACAAGCATTGCCGTCCAAAGCAGGCCGGAGAGTCGAGAGTCTAGGGTTCCTGAAAGGACAACAAAAGAGGGATATCAATGTTGACAATCGTGAACCAGAGTTCTGGGAGTTTTGCTAGCCCCCTGAAAACCAAAAGGAAGGGATAGAAGTGTTTAATGGAGTCTGTAGTAATTGCTCCACTTCTATACGTGTCATTGTTACAACATTCCACTACCAGATAAAGAGAATACCATTTCCCAGCAGTCTAGATTAACCATACTTACCCCCTTTGACACCGATGAAAGGGTAGAAGAAAGCAACAAGCAGATTCATGAGCACAGCCAAGTTGAAAGAGATGCTACTCCAAAAGGTCATGTTCCGAGAGCACCAGTACAGGACATGCTGTGCTGCAAGTCACAATACAAATTTTAAGAGAGGTTAGTTGTAATAAACATAAGCAATAATATAAACATACATCCATATTTCACAAATACTCTCCATATGTTAAATGAGACATTTTATTGCAGTAGCCTCTATTGTTTGGTGGGCTCTATAACAAGACACTATTAACCCTCAGATGACTTTAAAGCTCAATAAAGTCAGCAGTCATGATAATCACAGTCACTTCTCACCTCTCAGCTTCTTTTGCCAGTTCATCTCGTTGAAGAGATCCTCCGAGCGCTGGAAGAAGTCATGAATCTTGCTCCCCTGTTCATCACGTTCTGTAGTGTAGTAAATGCGTAGCTTTGATTCCTTTGTGAGGAACTCACAGATACTTGGCACTGGGAACACTATCTGCTCCATGGTGCGGTCCAGACGTACAATCTAGTCAAGAGTTAAGATTATTAATTATATGTTGGAAAGTTACTACACTCATGGCCTGAACAAATACTCCTGCATGGACATCACAAGCCCTTACCTCTATTTGGGCTGTATGCTTGGCGTAGAATTCCAGGGCCTCGTCTCCATCACCAATTTGCACTCCGGGCTTTAACATTTGCTGCAGTTCCTTGTTGTGCCTTGCAAGCTGTGTTAGAGGTTAAACACTCATTATAGGAACCCTCAAAGAACGATTTAGAGTAACAGGGAGGACTGTACAGTCTTAAAAAAATAAAACAAACGTCTAGCGGTCATACCCTTCTTAAAATAGTGATTTTTTTCTTTGCAAATTAATAAAAAAAAAGTATGGGATCTAAACACTTTTAGAAAATGGTGCACAAATAAAGCACTCGCTACTATAAGAACATGGAGATATATTGTACAGCGCTACGGAATTTGCTGGCGCTATATAAATAATTAAAGTGACCTTAATGTTTTTCAACTTGCAAGTGACACCGCATGAGGGTTATTTGCTACAGTAAGTTATACGATTTAGGTTCAGACACAGATGCTCGAAGCATTAAGTCGACAGAACCTTATTAAATACACAACAAACAAAACAGATGTCAAGTACAAACAGAAGGACGTAAGAGGTATAATTTGGCTTCAGAGCTCCATATTAAAACACTTCTGGGACAAGGAAGAACACTTTATATTCCTATTTAGGGATGCAGATTTGTTACATAAACATTGGATAAGAGCCCAGCATGGCTATGGTACATTTTACTATGGCACGCCCAGACATGCTGTGTGCCACATGCTCTTAGCCAGATACACACCCACAGCTGGAGGATTCTAGGACAAACTGTTCAAGGGAAGGATACTTTGCATGTGGTTAGGCACTTATGTAACCAGTGATACCTTGTTTGCTTGTATACACAGCTTACCTGATGAGCCAAGATATAAATATTGTGGCCCACATTGCGAGGAGATGCAGCGTGATCCTCCGAGCCTTCACCGTCCTCAAATTCCACCTCTCCCTGAAGATAAGCCTTTTTAATCACCTCCACCTAAGACAGTGATCAGGAATGACTAATGAAGTGTTGCAAAAAAAATAAAAAATACTGTACACATACAAACCAAGTAAACAGAGTAATGTCTACCACCAGTGTATACATACATAATATAAGGATCCTTTCTTAACAAGAAGAAATGACATTACCTGCTGCATGCACCTGTGTGCAGTATTTGTTAAATTATACAGAAATCTCATTGGCTGGAACAGCCCAAGCCATCACTTCATTAGTGCTGTGATACTGAGGTTTATAGTGTAGAAAGAAAATGAAATTTAAAAATTAAAAAACATATAGCTAGGCACACAGCTGACTGGTCGGTAACAAAAGGAACTTTTTAGAATATTGGTGAATTTAAGGTTTATAGGAGAGACTGTTCCTCTGACTTTATTCCCCATGATACTCATGCAGCCATAAACATTGACAAGCACTAAGGGGAATTTAGTAGGCTAAATGTGGCATGCCACGTTTCTAAACAAAATTTCTCATCAAGCCAACCTCCATTAGAAGGACCAGTGAAAAGAATAGCAACAAACTGTGGAAGACATCAGAGGGAGGGTAGTGATGAAAGCAATTTAAAAAGTAATTACCCAAATGAAAGCACAAGAGGTTTCCTAGGAGCATTAGTGGTGTGATACAGTGTTCTAACCAACTCACCAATTCCTTTGGTCTCATGTTGTACAGTATACGCTCTGCGTTCTCACTGTCGTGACGAGACTCCATGATGGCCAAGAGTAGTTTGGAAGCATTATTCTGAAGGGGGAAGTTATTAAACAATTCACTGTTTTATTATGCCACCATTCTAGCGAACCTCCTGCATTACAGTCTATACAAAGTTATTATCACTCCAAAATGACAGCAATTGGAATCGAAATAATGGATACCTAAACGGACTTCATTTCAGATGTATGGTTCAGGCTTCAAGAATATAAGCATGCATTAGTGTACAAACAAAAACCGCAAATATGCAAGGAATCATGGATACTCTTCAAGACCTTCAGTGGAAAAGGGCAGCCAAGCAGGAGACTTACAATGCTTCTCTATAATCCAAGTACTGCAATATCCCTCACACAACCACTTGCAACGGTTATGTTACAAAGATGTTACTTGCCTGTATCTCTGCCCAGTACCTTATGAAGAAATTTATAGCAACTGCAGTTGTAAGTTACTGAGCAGGGAGACCATGACTGGACATCTCCTTGCACCACAACGCAAGCAATAACAAAAATGTTATGCTGCCCAAACATTAGCGGCTCCCATTCATACCATATGTCTGACAAAAGATTCTGTCTTCAGGTAGTAGGCTGGTAGGAATAAAAAAGGTTGAGACATGGGCTTGTAATGCTTTTGTTTACTTATTACAAGGATTCAGTGAGGTGGATATCAGTGATGGCCAGGAGTTACATTCTCTGGAAGGGATTTTTAGAAGAAACCCAAAAGTCTGGTGGTGGTTGGTGTCTTTCCTCACTTAAGTGCCTTTACAATGGTATTCTAGCAATAGTTCCACCATGGATTTATCAAACACTTCTCCCGTGAAACAATATACACTACCCGTAAACCTGATCTAGTCAGAATCTCTGAAAATCGTGAACGTGGGTTAATATTTTGTTTAGTGCGTGACTGAGAAGTAATGGTGTTGCCATAATCCCACCTTTAACTCCAGCACTAGGTCCATTCGCTTCCGTCCCAGTGGGTTTATGTCATTTAGTATCAATGCTGTGATTATGTCTATTCCATTTGATTCATGGGTCGCAATGCAATTCTGTGGGGAGAACAGGTTTTAGCAGAACAGCCCAGATATACTTTAAGCCCAACCTCCCATAAGCTTTATAAACTACACAAGAGTTGCTACTGATGTGAACACAGATTAAATGGTAAAGAATACCTATAATGCAAGTTGACTCCATCTCATTCATACTTCATAGACAGCTGTACAGTAACGATAACAGACAGGAGGTGATCAGCGCTTAAGATTATATATACATACAATACAGATGGTGCTCTTAGTATATGACTCTATAAGTACAAAGCAAGAAAGATTATGGTGCAGTACATTAGAAGTTTGTGAAGTGTGTACAAAAGTGCGCACACACTTTTTAGAGCTCTCATCTCTATTATGAAGGCCCGGACTGAATAATCCCCATCTATGGATATAACCGAAGGGTATATGTGAAAAAAGCAAAATAGGAAATCCAATGGTATGGTATATACAAACAATTGGTATTGATGGAAGAAATGCATTGCATATTGCTGCCTAATTTGTTGTCTATAACAAGTCCCAAATCCTTCTCGTGTGTGGTTATGCCTAGTTCACTACCATTTAGGGTGTAAATTGCTTGTGCATTCTTAACCCCTAAGTGCATAACTTTGCATTTCTCTACGTTAAATTTCATCTGCCATTTTAGTGCCCAGTCCCCCAATCTATCCAAATCCCTCTGCAGCAAGGCAATGTCCTGCTCACATTTTATTACTTTATACACGGTTTGTTTTTACTTGTATAGCAGTTTCCAGCTTTTTAGTTAATAAACCTACTATTTTATTCATCATCACCTGTGGAATACATCCTTCATAGAGCCATCATCCTTCCGGTTCCAGCATATATCCCTAGGTGGGGATTGTTCCACCTCAAGTTCATGCTAGAGCAGGACATTGCTCTGGGTGACGCAAGGAGGATATTTTCCTCCGGCAATACCAATTGTTTGTATATACTATACCACTGAATTTCCTATTTTGCTTTTTTCACATATCTACTCCATCCTGAAAACAAGCTCCAAAGACCCTCCACTTATATCCATAAATGGGATTATGCCATCCAGGCCTTCATAATAGAGCTGAGGCATCTCTAAAAAGTGTGAGTGTGCACTTTTGCCCATTTGTACATCCTTCACAAACATCTACTGTACACCACCATAAGCTGTTTGTTTTGTACTTATAGATTCATATACTAAGAACACCATCTGTATTGTATGTATATATAATCTTTAGCGCTGATCACCTGTCTGTTTTCTTTACTATCCACTTCACAAGGGTGGAGAGAACCCCTTGTTGGTGATTTGCTGCCAATTCTAGATATTGAGCACTTATATCAGCCTTCTCATAGACAGCTGTGCCCACCACTGTCCAATACATTAACTAAAAAGGGATCATTGAATATCTATACAGATCCTTTATTTTTTATTTAGAAACTGGCAACAGTCGAGAACCAACAACATGTGAATTGTCCTGGTCCCCTCCCCCACATATCCATAGAGTGAGACTTCTCATTTTGGTATTCAAGAAAATATGCAATTCTTATTTCCTGATTTGGTGAATAAGCTCAAATTCTAAGCTGCGCAGTAATCCTTAATGATGCTTTTAAGCATCAAACTACATATAGTGAGGCTGCAGCAGGTTTAAGAATCATTGCACTTTTACCTGCATTGATTACTCCAGAACCATTCCTAAACACCACACTCACACCAAGTTTACTGCACTTCTATTGTGGCCTATCTTTCTAAGCACAGCATGTACCGTGTAGAAGCCTCTGGCCTGTCCCAGCAAGTAGAGCAGCAAGTTACATAACACTACTAGACAGAGCGTTCCAGGAAACTACACGTGCACCCTCCCTGCTCAGCCCTGTTATACAATAGATTTGCACAGAGTGAAGTGCTACAAGAACTTGTCAAAGCCAAACCTGTACATAAACCCATGTATTTGTATAAATAGCACAGCTGTAAACTGCATGCGTCCCGTAGCCTCACACCTGATTTTCATGGCACGGCCCTTGGCAGTACTCCGTCAAGCTTTCAAGAGTTTGATTTATGAGAGCCACGTTCTTTTCGTTGATGTAGAGTCCAAGCAGCCCCAGTCCACCAGTTGTACTGCCACAAATGCAATCCAAAAATTGCAAGGTTTCACACACCAAGTTATAGTTGGTTTTATTGTTCTGACAGCGTAGGAAGTTCTGAAGGGAAAAATAATTGAATAAATTTGGAGAAACACATTGCCATGTAAGATACCCCATCATTACATTCCTTATCCACATTGATGTAAGGTGCATCACCCTGCAACCTCCAAATTTCATGTTGCCCTAGTCTACTGCAAGATATAAGAATTTCACCAATAAACAATACAGAATAGAACTGCAACTACCCATGATCCTTTATTGGTACTGCAGTTCTACACTTTGCCACAACAAGCTATACAGTAAAGAGACAAAAACCTTCACACTTAAGCGATCACCTGTAGGTCTCTGTTGTGATTCTCGCACAACAGCTGGAGAAATCGAAGTATAGGCTGCATTATTGAAATCACTGCACTCATTTCAAGCTCGTCCCTGCCTTTCTCTGCATTTGCCGGCCCTTCCCCAGCTGCAAAATGGTCATCAGGGTCAGCCTCTCGTCGAAAGGAATTAAAAGCTTTCTTGGTAGCAACAGATGCCTCTAATAGCTGATCTTTGGCCTCTTCTGTAATTTGTATGCTGGGCTCCCGGGCTGAGAAAAATACAAATATGTTTGTTACGTTGTACTCTACAAGCATATGATTGTAAACAAGTTGCTGACCTTGTGAGATGAGGAGACCAAGAGTTGAGCATAATAGAGGTTAATCGTTACGATGGATCCAGGTGCAGTTAAACTGGAGATACCGTGACTCACCTGATTTGCGGTGTGGGGTCTCTCTCTCAGACTGCTCCTCATCACGTTTTTTGCTCCCAAGGTCACTTGTATTTACAGTCACTGTTGCTTTGATCTCTTGCTGGGCCACCTTCATTCGGTCAAAAAACACCTTAAAGAACTTCTCAGACTTCTTGTCTTCTGTTAGTCGGCAGAAGAAAGAATGCTGCAAAAGAGACATGACTTGAGAGGGAAGACCAGACAAGAATGCCAAGTTATACCTCTCATTGCAGAGGTTGCCAGTCCTAGACAACTACAGCTAAAGAAAGTTCAATAGCAAGCTTAACTGGTATGGGTGTTGTGCCATATAATGTCACCAGGATTGCATCTGGTCGGCATGTCTATGAACCGAAACACTTCAAGAGTGTGAATTTTGCTTCCATTTAAAAGAATACTCCAAATCACTAAAGCTACAGTGCTGAAGTGCTTTACGGTGAGTGTAGAGTTGTTGTAGCTTTATTTTACAGAGCTTCCAAACACAAGAGAAATGGGAATTTTTAACACCTGCTGGTTCTAAAGCTTCCCTTTCCTCATTTTTCTTGAGCACGTGCTCAAGGCAGAACTGAGGGTGTCACCATGATACCTTATTTTCACATGCACCCAGTCTCCCAAAGATTTAGTACTAGGTGAGATAAGCAACCTCTTAAGTCTCGAAGGAGATCCTTGAACTAAAATTAAAAAGAAACCATCCATAGTCGGCAACTTCTTTCTGATCTTGGAGAGTGTCTGTAAATTCTATTTAAATGGAGGTCCGTGATTTACAGGCCAGGACAATCTTATTCTCTGAAAATGTAATTTGGAGAACTGGCAAAAGGAAAGTTTAAATTTTCAGCAAAAACATGCAATCTGAAAACAGGTAGTAGAATCTTTCCAAATTGGTCAGTTCTCCATGATTATTGGTTTGATGAATAGCCCTACTTGTTTACAATATAAACATATGACAGGTGTAAACTCACTTGAAATCTAAAATAAAATATTCATAATAAAAACATAACCAATAAAAAGTGCCAGAATTATAGTCCGAGCCAAAATAGTCAAGTAGCTGTATTTACAATAAGAGTCACTACTGGAAACTATATTAAGGAAAAGAGCTTCTTTTAGTGAGCTCATTCTCTGCTCTGCTAGCAGCAGCAACGTGTCGGACGGGGAGAAAAAACCCACAAAACAAAACCCATCTCTTCCTGAATGACTGGTCAGACTGAGGTCTAAATTATCAGAAGAAGTCAAACTTCTTTATTTGCTGTCTGGTAAGAACACACAGGACTTTGAGTATTAAGAGACACAAAATAAAGACTGCCATTAACAGAGAAATAAGTGTCTTGAAACAGTATTTGGTAAACAATATTGAAAGAGTGGGGAGAAAGCTTTTGAAGATCTCTAGGGATATAGTAGCCATGGCAACTGCCTCGTTTCGCTCACTGTGGCACTGACGCACTCAAAGCAGCGTGGCACAGGGGAATGAGGCCAGCAACTCATTAAATCTCCTGCCTGCAGCCAGCTGATATAAATAGACCTTACATAACCTCTGCTTGTGCTTGCAATGTGGATACACTATGCATTCAATTTCCTAAGCTAGACTGTACAGGCCCCATAAGAACAGCAGGACAGTGGTAGCTGTCAGTCCCTGGGCGTAATGGTTAAACTCTCTAAACAACCACGGAGTGGAGGTATTTAGAACGCGGTTTTAACTCATGAGGTTCCTGTCGCTGATGTCCATCACTACATATTCTGATCTTGTTTATTAGATCGGGATAGAACTCCGTTCATGCAGTAAATCCCATGCTGCTTCAATATAGGAAATATGGGCCACATCCAATATAAGTAAAAGTATATTTTAACTTTTCTAATCTTGCCATGTAAAAATAACGTGGTCCCCTAAAGGAAGATTGTTTTTGAGCAAGGCCCTGATTAGTCACGTCACCAAGTAATAGTCTCTCTTATTTGCCAATGATGCAATTTGTTAAACCGTAAAGCTCTGGAACATGTTCGTTCTGCATAAATGACGTTAGAGACATGTCAGAATAATAGCTTGGCTTTGGGAGCTATGAGCCATGGGTTTTTATTTTCTTCTGGCTGGGGGGAGAATAGATCCTGTAATAATAAGGCAAAGCTAATGAGGTGTAAGGTCCATTTCTAGATTGTACTTCGATCAAAAGTATCTTTAATTAGTAAAAGTGAAGTGGAATGGATGGAACACATCCCTGCTGCCTACCAACAGCCACTGTTACTACAAATGTGTAATGCAGGATTGCTTAAGGGTTTCCCTCCTTACATGGAGGAACAAGGCAACGTGGACATAAGGACAAGCAGAGTTGGTGGGGTAGCTAGTATCAGGAAGGGACATGGAGAAGCGTGGAAAGGAGAGGAAATACATAGGATACAAAAGTACAAGACAAGGAACAAATGATGAAAAAAAAAAATTCAGAAAGGAATAAGGGTGAAAAATCCAGAGAGAAAAAGTGTGGGATGCAATGATATTTATGGAGATGAGGAAAGTGAAGGGAACATATTTCACATAATTTAAGACACCTAGCTTGTTGTTAAAGGAAGGTACATACATCGATATCTGAACTATGTACGATAAACCAAAAACAAAAACCATATTCCCATTTGGACAGAATTTGTTGCCCCAAACCATTCTCTCCTAGAGTACTCTGTCCTGATTGCGTTTAGAACAGCACCCCCATCATGCTCTCACCTGGATAGTAGTGTTTCCTCCCTCTAGCAAAGCTATTGCCAACAGGATGCTCTCATGAAACACACGGTCACTGGTTGCATTCATAATCAGATCAATCACTAGGTCTGATGCCCCTTCTTTATCAAGGTGACACTGAACATCAGACAGGCTCATTTCACCCCGACTTAGGGTTCCTGGACTGGTCCCTCCTCCTATATGGTGAAAGCAAAAAGTAAGAATAAAAAAAACCAAGACAGACATAAGTTTATGCACAACTATAAAAGTTGAAAAAAAACTAAACACAACTCACCTGACTTTCCAACACCACCTCCAGGTATAGGGCCATTTCCAAAAGTTGTTAGGCTCTCTCGTCTTGTAGCTGGACGAGTGTTCCCGTAGTAACGATTGACGAGAATGATCCTTAGGGCTTCCCCCTACAGAGACCAAAACACAAAGTTTTGTAAGCTGTGAACAGAGGCTGTGTGATGGGCACAGCTGTCAACTGTGCCCATGAATGTATCATCCATATCATATACCCATTACCCAAGCCTGTCCCTAGCTGCCACACTAATTCAAGGGATATTAAAGATACTTTATCCAATTGGATCGAACACAGACAACACTGAGGCTATGAAGGTCCCATGAACCACAGGCAGGGCAATGCAACCTGCCACCACAAAGCAAAGACAAGCCACACACTAAAGTTAAACACCAAGTAAAGACCAATTTAAAATAACACACAAACAAAAACACCCACACTGGCAGGCAGGTTGTGTAGGTCACACCAGGCAATTTGAGGTGTTCAAAAACATCACAGTAGACACTCATACTTACCCTTTTGATATCCTCCAGCTGCCTTTGAGGTTGGACCTGGCCAAGCTCCTGTGATCATGCAGAGACCAAATATATAAAATGAACAAACCCTCCGGAATCATGTTTACAGGGATAACTCGTGGGAACTAGGACAGAATGGCCACACTGCTATTGCCTCATGGTCCAGCACACAAGGGATCTTCAAATCTGTGTGGATTTATTTTGAAAGCAATAGCAAACTACAACCCAACATTTAATTTTTAGAAAATTGTTTCAATATATATTTAAACATTGAGAATTCTAAGCAAGGGCCAGTTTGTATCACAGCTAGTCAGTTTTTACTCATTTGGAGTTTTCCCCATTTTCTTTTACACACAGATTCCCGGATCTCAAGGGCTGGGCAGGCAGTGTGTTGAAAAACTAGGAATTTTGACAAACAAGGCAACATGCAGGGTGCTTGATAAGCGAAGAAACACTGTTCGCCATGTAAGAGTGAATGTAGACAAAGCCATAAAAATTACTGTATGAATGGTAAATCACAAAGCACACCAAGGGGGAAGTTACACACCTCTGCTGACCCCTGCACATTCGGCATCTGCAGCCAGCAGCATTGGGGCAGAGAAGCAAGAAGTAATTAGAAGTGAGAACACAGCCTACAATTTTCTAGGACAGAAGCACATGTAGAGGGAGCACGTAAAGGGTTCTGTACAGAAAAGATGCATCTGGTTACTTTAAAGGGTTATTCATGCTTCCACCCACACAAGATCAGTGATTCAACAGGAAAGTCCCTGTAGAGCAGAGGTCTGAGACTCAATGCAACATCGGGCCACCTACAAATGGTCACATTACTGGGCAGAGTGTTACACGCAGATGAGACAAGTTTGTTTACAGTCTCAGACACACGTGGGCACTGTCTGCAGATATTCCGTCTCTGTCCATCGAAGTAGCCCCAAGCAATCACATTAAAAATAAAAAGGATCACCAATAGAGAATTTTGCAATTTTATGAGTAGATACATACTTTCCAAAAAGATTATATCAATGAGGTGGACCTGGGCATGTTCCTCACAAGGCATGTTCAGGGAAAAGCCCTTAAAATATTTGGATGATGTGGCACCAAGACAAACTGCTTGATTGGCCATTTCCACCAATAACTGGTTGGCCTCAAAACTGATGTGGTTTTGTCAATTAGTGAAGGTCAGAGCATCACGCATGGAAAAAAAAAATTCCCAAGAAGGCAATTAGGGCAGCCACACAGCAACTGCTTGTCCCCTGATGGGCAGTGCCAGCACATGGCAAGGAGGCAGCTATTGTACAAGAGATTCAGGTTTAAACACAAAAGTACATTTAACTCGGCAAAGACTATATTCCAATTTCTATTCTTATGCTTCAACTATACAGTTTAAAAAAAAGAAAGTTTTCCTTTTAATCTTTTTGCCAGAGTGTTCATACTGCAGACTCACTCACCCTCTAGTGAAAAATTATAACCCCATATAAGTGATTAGTTCTTTAATGATTAGTGCTGACCTTGTCGGCAAACAAGCAAGAAAATATCCTGCATTTAGTGCTGACAGTCATACAAAGTAAACCTTAAAGTGATGCCTAACCTTAGCACCCCAGAAGTTTGGACACTCTGGCCGAGCAAAGGAACTGTAGCCCCCAAACATCTGGGCCACCAGTGAGCCATCAGCAAGATAGACTATCCACGGTTCCTTCACCAGCTGAATGTGCCCATTTCCCTGCCTCCTAGACCACCTCAGCAGTAATCCCAGGATCTTGGGGAACCTACCTTAAGAGTGAGGTACTCACATGTTTGCTCTAATTTCCCTTGAGAACAGGCTGCTAAACTCCTGCTCCTACCTCTCATTAAGTACATTCTCTTCTAAGTTGAAATCCCACCATCAGCGGCATCTTCAGTTACACAACTATTGTCCGCTTGTCACATAAGCTTACCTAAGCCATGTTCTCCAGAAGGAACACATTCTCTGCAGGAAAAGGGAGATTTGACAGACTGTTTGGGAGGAGCAAGACATTTTATGGAGCTTATTTTGAATGTGGTTGCACTTAGGGGGTGGGGAGGAAGGGGGAATCCTTCACACCTAATGTTTTGAGTCACCCGTTTTAAGGAATCAGCGCCACCAGAGATGGTTAGAAGGACCCCTGCTGTAAGCATGCAGACACCTCCGGGGAGCTACTCCGTAATTGACAAGATACTAATGTACAAACCATTTTATACCGGTTATGTATTATTGAATGGGAGTCACAAGTTGGTGTACTAGAGTGGATGTGATCATACATGTAATCTATATATAATCTGGTAGTCAGTGTTGGTGGGTGTGGTGAGATAGGATGAGGAAAGAGGCTGGGGAGAGGGTGTTTTTCCATTTCTTCCCACGAGTCCTTATCCACGTTATAAGTGTGCTGGATAGTCTGTTTCATGGGATCTGCACCACCAGAGTTGGCTTTCCTAACCTGTGATAGAGGCATTCTGTTTGATCTGAGACCGACTGATTTACACTGGATGCCTCTTCTGCAAAGCTTCTCTATTTTGATACCTCTTTGGAGGTTCGTGATTAGAATGACACACTACTATACAAATAATTTTATGCCTTCTATGTATTATTGCTTAGTCATTTGTTTTGATGCTCTACTTTTGCCATACTTGTAATTTGTATATACACTTTAGTGATCATAAGGCAAGATATTAATGCATTGCACATTGTGTCTTTCTTCTAAGTCTGCCTCGCCAACAATACTTTCAGGAGACATTGAGTCCCCTGCGATGTGGACATTGCTCCGATTAGAGATACATTTTCCTACTGGTTATTCCCTGGCGCTGGTCCCATGGGATTGTATTTGATAGTTCTCCATTTATACATTATGACTTTCATTTCTCTTCCACTTTATCTTACCTACTCATAGTCTACTCTCTCCCCCTCCCCCAATCTCTACCCAATAAGAGTCTAATGGGGGCTCCCAGAGCCAAAACAATTCCCATCCTACTCTAGTGGTACTATAGACCACTTCTTGCATTACCATTCTCTTCCCTTACTCAGTTGCTCTGATATACTCTCGATGGCACAGTCTGAGCACAGCCCTCTTTATAAGAACATTGCATCATCACTCTTTAGGCCTCAGTGCACATGGCGCGCGAATGAGTTAAAGCTTTCAAAATCTTCAATAGTTGACGAGATACGGGCTGCCATAAAAGACTGACACAATCTTACATCAGAAGCCTCTAAATCCTCCGTATGGGAAGCCCACAAATTGCTATTACGTGGACACTTCATGAACATCTGAATCAAATGCACATAAAGTCCATATAAAATATCTGCTCTGTGTAAAAGTAAACTAATGCAGTAGGCTACTGACAAGACTCCTACGCCAACTAAAGAAACCGTTGTATAATCCCATGGGGGTACGTAATACCTCAGGCCACCACTGATCAGGCAAGCGCAATCTCTGGTTCTTCAAACACATCTATCTCAGTCAGCTGAAATTTCGGTAAACTGCTATGTTTACAGCAGGCAGGGTTAACCCTAGATTGACCTGACACCCAGACCACTTCATTAAGCTGGTCTGGGTGCCTATAGTTGTAGCTAGAATCTTCGATCGAAGCTTAACATATTACACCGTTCCTACCAACTCTGTTAGAGCCATTTCCTTGTTGAATTCGCGATGAGGCAGCACATGGATTAAGGGTTGGAGAGGTGTCTCAAAGTGATCTCTAATGCCAACGATCTATTTTTGTTATTATGGACCCAATGCACACTGAGGGAACTCCTGAACGATTTCTAATGCTATGGAGCCAACCTTTGCTTTGCAGCATTAAGAGACCTGGGACAGTTCTCCCAGACCACTTCAATGACTTGACGTGGTCTGGGTGTCTATAGTGTTCCTTTAATGTCAAGAGCTCTGATGGAGAGAGGGTGGAAAGAACTCATCCATTCCATTGCTGTCTGACCCACTTAAACTAGGAGATTTGGCTCACCCGTGACCTCTCCATGCCATTTCAGAAATGTAACACCATCCTCCTCAGTAGAATCTGCACAAATAGGACTTTTAATGCATTTCATAACTTAAAACGTCAGTGCTCCCACTCGTACTCTATTTCAAACGATACCAATCAAACCCTTCAGGTCCAACTTCAAACAGCTCAGGAGGGCAGTCAGAAGGGGACAAACATTCCAGTCTGGCTTACCCACAATTTGTGTTGCGGAGAATTTGATTTACCCGATTTAGGGAAATACTATGTGGCAGCACACCTTTCCTAGTGGAGCCAATGGTTCTTCAGTGGAGCCACAGGGGAAAAACTATGGATTTCATTTGAGAGGACAAGCATTTTGATTGATCTGGAGACTGTTCCATGACTCTGCGTTAAATGCGGAAGAAGTTTAGCCCATCCTGATCCCTAAGTTCAGGAGACACTTACTCTGGCACAGATGGGGCCCCAGATACCTTCTGACCACAGCTCCAGGCACAGTGTTACTTTTATGTAATAAACCATAGTTTCCCATGTGTATACATGGACCATTCAAACACCCATTTACATGGGATGTCTTTTCCTAGAGAAGGAAAGGTGTGGTGGGATTCACAATATGTGATAACTCCGACAACGCATATATTTCTCCACACTAGCCCACACACAGATCTTACATTACCTACGTAATATCCCTCAGAGAAGAAGTTTCACATAAGAGCTTACAACGTTTGAATCATATGGTTAAGGAGAGCAACCCCAAATCTGATGCATTTTCAATATCGATCGTTGACAAAACAGATCTTCCCCCAGTTTGTATGAACAAATTGGAAGATGATTTGCAGACACTACTGGATGACTACCGGACTAAAATAGTTATGCTCATCAATAAAACCTCCTTATAGCAAGTCACCTATGAAATCTGTACCAGATACTAATCACTCTTTTTGCATGGGGCCTGTTGACCTTATGCAGTTTGTGCTTTGGAGAGGCAGAGGGCACCCTATTGCACCAGTCAACATTTGATCCAGCAGGACAAATATTTTTTAAGACTAGTCCTAAAAAGGCAACATTGTGAGTTATAGCAAATGGGTTTGAATTCACAGTGACTTAAAAATATATAAAAATTTTTCTTCAAGTATATGGCCAAAAAACTAAACTAACTGAACGTGTGATTTGAAGAATTGGCTCAAGTTAGCTATTCAAGCCTAAAATGCAAAATTTCTAACTTTATTGAATTAACCTGTTTATCACCAATATGTTGGCTTTTGTCTACGCAGTTAATACCACTGGGTGGATGAGGGTATAATTTTAAACTATCAGTATGGTAATTGCACTCTGTAAGCAGACCGGGTATACACTGTCACAGTGCACAAAATCCATCAAAACACAGCACTCAATCATATGCCAAGGACAGGCACATCTCACAACTAACCGCGCACCATCCAGATTAGAAACAAAGGTCAGCTCAGTATTAGTTCTGTCTGTATAAAGACTATAAAATTGCCAAAAACTGAGATTATGGTCCATTTCATTAATGACAGACCCTCCAAGTGTAAACATTACTTGAAAATGCATAAATATAATCTGCAGAATCTACTTTAGGACATTTGGGGGCGGGGTTGGGAAGAAAAACACCGCAAAAACCTTGATACTTTGTTACCTGGCAGGAGAGGTAGTGTAGAGTCTAATAAATCCAATACGATTTTGAACATTATATATTATATTTTTACTATTCTCTTTAGCATTTGCATGTGCCATTTAATATCCCACTCAAAACTAGCCCAAATTCCATCCTATATTTATTTCCACCTGTCCTGACACTTCACTCCTCCACAGGTCTAAAAACAGACAGGAGAGCTTTCTGTTGGCAAGTGACACTGCACAGTCCAACCATATCACGCACACACGTAAGATAGGATTTAGATTCCTCCAGCGAGATACCAAGCAGGACTGAATTTTGCATGTGCCAGCTAAACCTTCATGTCACCCGATCTATGCTTAGGCTGCAGAGAGAGGACCACAGGACTTCAAGCTAGGGAAGAACATCTTCCCAAAGAGAACTTTATTATAGATCTATAGAATCAACCCCCCACAAAAAAAAAAAAAAAATTATATCTCTCTCTATCTCTCTCTCTATCTCTCTCTCTATCTCAAAGGTCAAGAGCTTAAAGATTTGGTAGAGACAACATATAAAGGCCAAAATACTAAATTTCAGAGAAGTCTACTTTGTCTAAAATCTAAAGCCATCAGTATCACATACAACAGTGTCTATTCATAAATGAGAAAGAATATTTTATTGTTTAACTATAAGGCAGGAGATTTAATACATCAAGGTGATCAATGCAGTGTTAAGATCATAACATTCTCAATTATAAATTCTATTGAACACTAGACAGTGTTCTATTAATATTAATTCAGGACACTTTACAATATGGTTGAATAGAGGTTCAAGAGGTTATCTGACAGCAAAGTAATTACACTTAAAATAAAGGGTACTGAATAATTTAAGTGTGCCAACAGAGCAGCTAGGCAAACTTGTGATCTTTGCCAGTAACCGTTAAAGGTCTTAAAAATCAAGGGCAGCTCTGTGTTTTAGGGGCCTTACAGTGGCTTCTAACTTCTATGGAAATAACACCAACACAGAAAATGATCTACTACTTGTGCTAAAATGACACTTAAATTCCTAACACTATGCAGCCCTCTTTGCAGGCATGTTTTAGGTCATCCCCGTTTCGAGTATTTAAAAAAGAAAAAAAAAGAAATAGTGTTTTTTTTTTTTTTTTTAAACTTACCTTAACTCTAGCATGAGACTCCCTCCCAAGCCTCTACTTCGAGCATCATCTTTTGGCTCTCGAGCTAGATTAGAATCTGATGCGCATGCACCGTACATAAATTTAATGCTCTATGAGCTGTCAGAGCAGCAGAGGTTTTTCTAGGGGCTGCCAGGAACAGTCGCTAGAGGTAGATTTAACATTGTAAAGTAAATTCTGCAGTTTATACAAAACTGCAATGACCACTGTATCCAAACCCCTTTATTGAAATTAAGTGGTCACCCCAAAATATCCCAACTGGAAGCGTAGCGGACAAAGAAGATGCTTCCAGTCTGGCTATTTTGGCCTTAAACTTGAATTCCTCAGAATTATCATAGTGATTAAGTGATCCAAGTTCTCAATTATAAAAAGGATTTAGAAGGCACATTATTGCATTGTAAAAATGCAAGCTATTCTGTACACACACACACACACACACACACACACACACACACACACACAGCCTATGTTGAAACCTATGTTGCTGTGATGTAATATTTTCCATCTCTTGCAAAGAACTCTGAAAAAAAAAAAAAAAGTAGGGAATTCCATCATGAGTCCACTAAACTAGACAGTCTTCTAGGATTTCCCCCTTCAATTCTAAACTGTTTTACCTAGAAAGATGCATTTTTTTCACATTTGGGTCATGGAACGTCCTTAGTTACAGAACCATGGTAAGATTAGTTACCTTGAGATACAACCAACTCCGTAAACTAAAAGATGCAGGTTTATAAAGCTCTACAAGTCTAATTTGTCTTTGGATGATAAGGTTGCATAATGTGTTCCAGTAAATTAACACATATGACATCTACATCCACCACACACAAACTAGTATTACAGACCACAAAACACTGCACATACTGGACAAGACAGACACAAGTCACTAGACATGAAGAGATGCGCAGTTAGCCGCACTACAAAATGTGTGACAGATTATAGCCTTTTCATTGCCAGAGAAGACTATTCAGGAAGTTGCAAACGCTTCCATTTTGAGCAACACACATTCGGCATCTCAAACTACAAATTAAAATCCAAAGAAAAAAAAACCAAAAAACAGCAGGGATGGGCTTGGGTTAGGAATTACAAAGTTACAAACAGGTCAAAACCTCTGTGTTTTCCAGTGGATCAAGAGCTACCAGCTGTAAGAGATCAGAAAGCAGGTATTAGGTATTAGACCGGGCATTGCACTACATCTAGGGGAATATTAAATGGTACATTCCAATCCCTGAAATACATCTTTCACTATAGAGGAGCATGATATAGTATCACTAACAAAAGAACTAAAATTCCCAAGATCCTCCTTTAGTCAGAAATGTGGTTACCCACATAGACCAATAAAAAAAAAAAAGTCTTCTACAGCTTCAGTCTAAAGGCAATTAGGAGGTTTTGTCTCCCTATTCTAAACAGTGGAACCGTTTTATTGTGAATAGTCATACAATTTGGAATATGGATTAAAAACTGTGCAGGAGTGCAAACTTCTTTAGATATCAGTCATAATTCATGGCAACCACACCAACAAGAAGAATGAGATGGCCCTGCCACCTTGTGGCAAACCTTTAAATTGGATGTCAGCAGCTATAAAAATACACAACTTAAATGTGGATGGCACAGAGTTTACCAGGACATGTGCTGTGTAGCGGATGGCATTGGGCTGTCCTCAAAAGTTAGTTTTAAAAATGCATTTCGTGTAATTATTCCCATGTACAGCTGTATTGTATGTAGCCTTCGTCTGATTGCTCGGTAGTTTTCATTCCGTGTTCCATACGAAGGAAAATACCGAACCATGAGACCACCCCAGAGAGAAGTGTATCTCGTTCAGCTTTTCACACTCTAACCGCAAACTAATTGACCATGCAATCGTTACTTTGTATATATCTGGGTGGTCGCCATTTGATATACGCAAGAAAATCTCAGCTGTGTGTGGTCGTCTAGTGTCTGGAACTCAAATCGGACACTCAATTACCCGAACACCGCTGAGACCTCCAGAGCTCCATCACTCCCGAACGGAGGGGCCAATCAGCCCCTTGTTCGGTAAAATAAGTGTCCCGAACAAGGGAATCAATACGAATACAGATCTAACTTTGGATGGCAAGTATTTCTATGCATTTTATCTTCCGAACATAGACCGACCGCAAGGCCAAAACACATGGAACCTTTTTCGGATACTACCTCGTGTGGTCCGGTCTGGGTAAACTTTGAATATGTTAGTCACCCAGATCAGGGGTACCCATTATATAATTCTGACTGTTTTGGGTTACATCCAGAAATCGGGTAAAACTGCAGTATGTATAAGTGGATTAGGTGTCACATAAGGGGAGGAGATGTGTGGGAGGTAACAGTTACACTATTGGATATTGTACTAATTAATGTGAATCCCTCCCTTGCATGGGTGAAAGCTTTAAAAGAAGGTTGTTGTGAATAAAAGTTTAGTTCTGCTCCTGATGCGGTGTGTCGTCCAGTCATTGGGATCCGTATTGGGATATTTATGGATTACCTTGCTTGCTGTGACTATTGCTATATGGAATTTTATTACTTGTTCCTGAGCTTCACTGGGATCTTTAGTGGAGATAACCCGTGAAAGACCAGCTCTCCGCTACATGCTGTTTAGATGTATTTTGAGCTTTCAGATGTCTCACTTTACAGTAAAATAGAGAAGTTCTATAGTTATGTACTATGAAAAGGGCACAGCTATTTTAGTCCCCTGTTAATTTGGCATCACAACTGCCACTGCAGGGCACAAAGATTCCCTTATAGAAATGCAGTGGGGTAATTTCCATCTTTTACACACTGGCTGAGAATGATGGAGGTGCCGTCCAGAGTACCTCAAGTTCTGGAATCGTCCCGAGCAAAATATGGATTGTTTCCAGCCCAATGTATGTAAACACTAAAGGAAGCAATCAAAACTGGCACTGTTTAGACTGTACTCTTAATGCAAGAATACATTACATGTAACATTTGAAATATTGTGTGTTGATGCCAATGTAGGATTTATGCCGTTCTAGATATGGCAATGCCAAAGTTTGCCACAGACCAAACATTGTAGCAACGATCCCTTTCCTTGGATCATTTTTCATGACATACATTCCCTTAAACGGTACAATGAATCAATTATTTGTCCAAATCATTACCTTGTCTCCAAAGCCCCTATCCTTCGCCATCATCTCTCTAAGAGTCTGTAGAACCTTAATGCAAAGCTTCTCTTCATTCTCTTCCAAAAGGTGCTTTGTGTGTCGGATCAACCTGTAAAAAAAAATGGCAAAAATGCATGTTCAGATAGATCATGACAATACAATTCGATTCTGTACCGTACCACAGGGAGAAATTCCTCACTTGCAGATGAATTGGCCACTCTCACACTTCCGACGGGCATCTGTATTCTCAGGAAACAAGAGTTCCGGTCTGTGTAGGACATCAACCAGGACAGACAACTCTGCTTGAACCAAGGGACGCAGACGGTCTTCAAGAGAAGAAACTATGTCCTGCGGGTGAAGGAAAGACTGTTTGAACAACCACCCACAGTTCCATAAATAATGAAGAAAACTTTTTTTTTTTTTTACACACAAACCAACTTAAGCGTTCTAGTTCCACATTAAGGGAATATCCACCTATTGGCCACCCCATGATGCAAATTGTCACTCTTCACTAGCACTACCTGTAGTCGCTCAATGATATTGCGATAGTCCCGTGACGCAGTAAGCACAGAATCACGGCGAACAGCATTTCGAACAGACATACGCCAACTCATGGCTGTTTTCTGCACAATATTGTGGCTCTTCAAGAATAAATTGTTCACTTGACTGTCCAAATCGACTGGGATGGCTATAGCACGGCTCTTTGCTGCAATAGAAAGGAGACCTTGAGATTAACATCCTGATATTTCACAGGTATCCATAATCTACCATCCATCCAATCACCGATGTTACTCACAAAATCATAGTTTTATGCTTAAGGAAGCCATCATTTACTCAAAAAACAAACAAACAAAAAAAAACACACACACACACCCAAAGCAATTGTCATTAGAATGGACTCACTCAAGCATTTGAAGTCATCATGCTTCCCCAAAACATTCATTACCTCGTGCTTGCCCTGCCCTTCTTACCCACATCTGACAGCACCCGGATACAGCTTTCAACCGATGCCTTCTGGGCAGGCAGGAGCCAGCTGCAGTGATAGACCCTAAACACTGCTTGCAGGAGCTGCACAAACACTGGCTGCCGTGTCTAGGGAGACAGACCAGCACATTTGTTTTTTAAATTTGGAGTCCTAGAGCCGTGATTCCTAACAGCTACAAATCATTTAATACCAATGTGACCAATTAAAGAAAACAAAGGTTAAAAATAAAAAATAAAAAAGTGTTAAGGGAAGTGTGATTAACCCAGCTGCAACCCTTCCACCTGTGACTTAGAAGAAACAGAAACCTAAAACATACATCCAGTGCCCTAATCTCCCAGTTTTACCTGTATCAGTATAGTAATGATTGAACCCTGTGGTAAAAACAATTTCATTATTAAACTCTGCAAACAGGGACCAAAAACTACAACAAAACCATTTTAAAGAGGACTAGGGTTCTAAATGCGAAAAAAGCAGCCTTCATATTATTTTCTATAGAAAGGCAGAGCAAAACCGTCTGTCAAGCGGTACATACTAAATGTAGTTTGGAGTCACAAGTTCTAGCTTTCATGAAGAAAGAGGAATGAAGCCATTCACGTTCATAGAACCAGTTTCTACAAACCAAGCTATTCCATTCATGTATTAATAAAGCTAGCCAGATAAGCATATGCATGGTTGCTGAACAACAATTCTAGAAATCATGAAAGAGGCTGGGCTCCTATGTGGCAACTTTTCCCCTCATGCTGTTAGCAGGGTAGGTGGACATATGGTTGAAGCCCAAGTAAATTGGATTATGGAAGACGGATAGCCTGGTACCATAACATGCTCATTGGGATACTAAGGGATCTTCACTATACAAAAATAAACTGCAGAATGACCATAGGCTCCATCTGCCCCATTTAAGCCATTTACAGACTACAAATGCTTGATCTTCAGTACAGACCTGAAGAGTTGTACTCTGATCAGAGAATGGAGAGCTGAAGAATGTGGTGACAATGCTCATGACAGTCTCCGTTACATATCGCTCCAGGATTACATCTGCATGTTTGCGATCACTTGTACTGTTGCACACCTGAGGGACAGAAAATACAGCAAGTTAGGCCATCTCACATCAAAACAATTTATCAAACCTCTGTAAGAGTCCATATAATCTCCCAAATTCCATCATCCACTCACCCTGCAAATATCCACAAGGAAGTTCTCAAATAATTTCCACATGTGATTACTCGTGTAAATCTCCTTCATCTCCACCTCTGTGTCCACATAGCAATGATTAAGAAAGTTAATGTAGGCAATCTTCACCTAGGAAAAGAAAGAAGCTATATATTCACTCTGCAGCACAAAGATCACAGGGCAAACCAGACAAATTATTCTACAAAACTGGATTAGAGACAATCCATGGATAGGTCAAACTTCTCAAAGCAATGAAGGGTCTGCTCTTCATGATCTGATGGCTCAGAAGTCACTTTGATATGCTAGTGTACCATCCGTAGCCAGAGCCAGTAAACTCACCTCCGGGATACAGTCCTCATGGGTCACTACACGTACAATGTCATCCAATGGGAGCAGAGAGTTGCACTTAATCTCAGTGTAAACATTCTTGCCTTCAGTGCACACTGCCAAAAGCTCCACTAGATGGATGTGGTACATCAGTGGGCTGTTCTCATCCATTCGCTCCCTTTCAGAACGCATCATCTGCACCAGAGTCTGGAATGATGCACGGTCATTGTAGAAGACTAGAACATCCTCACCAGAGTTCACCAGCTGCGGGGTAAGAAAGTACATGTAAGAGCCAGGATAGAGATCATCACAGAAGAAAATTTAAAAACTACATTAAACTCTTGTTATATTCTTGCCACGTCTAGAAATTCTGAATTTTAGAATTCTATACCGGAGATAAAATGGTTTCTTCTGTTTATCTTCCTGGAGTGGAAGGTCAGAGTGGAATACACTTAAGGTCTACACAAAACCATGTCTGTTCTACAGTTTAGTTCAATGCACACAGATATAGGCATTGTGACAAGGTGAAAGGTCAAATCAAGAGTTGTGTAAGGAACCACAGAATCCTACCAATTCCATCATACCTCTGCCATGACTATATCCTGACACTTCTTGATGAAGCGCCCTTCAGCCTTCACTATTGTTTGCAGAAACTTTATGTACTGTACACTGCGCCCGTGAGTCTCAATGCAGTGAGCAAAGTGCTGTACAACTCTTTCATTAATTTCGCTACACAACTGGAAATTATTCATGAAGATATGTTGCATGGTCACGGCCTCTAAAATCTAAAAAGGAGGAAAAAAAATCGTTAAGATTACAAGTGACATTTGGAGCTCAGTTTCAAAGTGTTTTGGAGTTTATTAAAGTTGAATACTAGCACATAAGGCATCTACATCCAAGTTCACCCCAGCCTTTTTACTCACCCCTGGAGTTAGGAAAAGGTTTATGTGCTTATGAAGAAGGGTTTGATTTTGTTGATTTCCAGCACAGAAGTTCTGTAGGAATTCATGTGCAATCCTCATGATCTCTTGCATTCGAGTATCCTCTGTCTGAAAAGACATAAAATGACAAGACTGCTTGTTAGAGGCACATGTCAAAAGTACATGCAATACTTTATCCACTCCAGCGAGGTAGGAGTTTCAAGAGGTTTAATGTTGCTGTCACATTCTGGGTCTATGCATATTTTAAAGAGCAAAAACAGGGCGCAAAAGAATACAGAGAACAGGCAGCAGCTGAAATAGCCTGCCCTTCGGTGGGTCCTCGCTCAGTTCTCAAGCTGGTTTTAGCTCATCTAGTGCCATTACAGAGCGAACACCTCTGAAACATATCAGACTAGTCCCACCCATACGGGCAGTCCAGAACCGAAATGCCAGCAAGTTCCCTCTGCACGAGAGACACAGCAACCCCAGATGATCGTTTCAGTCTTGTTAGGCATCAGTAAGCAAGGGGTCCACGCAGTGGCGTACACATGACCCATGGGGCCCCGGTGCAAAAATTGATCCGTGGGCCCCCCCAGCGCGCGGGCCAGGCCGCAACACATGGCGGTGGGCACCTGGTCGCAGGGGTTACAGGGCTGCGACCGCGGTGTGTAAGCCAGTGCATGCAGATGCACACACACTTAAAGGACCACTCTAGGCACCCAGACCACTTCATCTTAATGAAGTGGTCTGGGTGCCAGGTCCAGCTAGGGTTAACCCATTTTTTCATAAACATAGCAGTTTCAGAGAAACTGCTATGTTTATGAATGGGTTAAGCCTTCCCCCTATTTCCTCTAGCGGCTGTCTCATTGACAGCCGCTAGAGGCGCTTGCGTGCTTCTCACTGTGATTTTCACAGTGAGAGCACGCCAGCGTCCATAGGAAAGCATTATGAATGCTTTCCTATGTGACGGGCTGAATGCGCGCGCAGCTCTTGCCGCGCGTGCGCATTCAGCCCAGGAGGAGGAACGGAGGAGGAGAGAAGGAGGAGAGCTCCCCGCCCAGCACTGGAAAAAGGTACGTTTTTACCCCTTTTCCCCTTCCAGAGCCGGGCGGGAGGGGGTCCCTGAGGGTGGGGGCACCCTCAGGGCACTATAGTGCCAGGAAAACCAGTATGTTTTCCTGGCACTATAGTGGTCCTTTAAAGGACCACTACAGACACCCAGATCACATCAGCTCAATGAAGTTGTCTGGGTGTCAGGTCCCTCTAGTTTTAACCCTGCGGCTGAAAACATAGCAGTTTCAGAGAAACTGCTATGTTTCACTGAGGGTTAATCCAGCCTCTAGTGGCTGTCTCACTGACAGCCGCTAGAGGAGCACACTGAACGTCCATAGGAAAGCATTGAGTAATGCTTTCCTATGGGCGGTTTGAATGCGTGTGCGGTCTCATTCCGAGCTGAGAGGCTGAGGGATCCCCAGCGCCAAGGGAGTCCGGCGCTGAAGACACACACACACTCACTTACAGACGCATACACACTAGCTAACAGAGACACACTCAGCGACAGACATACACTCATTGACAAACACACACTCACTCTCACACACTCACCTTTTGGAGTGCTGGGGGGATTCCCTGGGGTCCAGTGGTGCTGCTGGGGTCCTGGGCGGGTGGCCAGGCGGGCAGGCAGGCGCGCGAGGGAGCACTCAGTGCTTCCTCTTCAGCTCCCTCGCGCGCCGCGTAGGGATGCCGGCGCCGGAAGATGACGTCATCTTCCGGCTCCGGCATCAGTGCGGTGCGCGAGGGAGCCGAAGAGGAAGAACTAAGTGCTCCCTCGCGCGCCCGCCTGCCCGACCGGCCACCCGCCTGACTGGTGTCAGCAGGGCCAGCCTCGGGGGGCCCTGGGGTGGTCGGCTCCTGGGCCCCCCAGGTGAAGAGGCTGGCCCTGTGTGTACATACCGGGTCGCAGGGGCGGCCGGGCCCCCTGGTGGGCCGGGCCCGGTCGCAACCGCGACCCCTGCGACCCTGGTATGTACGCCACTGGGTCCACGTCAGGATTACCCTTTAAACTCATGGAGAGCAAAAAACGGGGCGCAAGAGAATACTGAGAACATGCAGCAGCTGAAAGATTTTAAAGAGACCCCAAACGGTGACAGCGCCTCTTGCATTCTGGTCGTGGCAGTGGAAGGTAGGTGTTACCCCAACAGGTCCCTCGTGGGAGCTTCCATCTCCTTTAAGATCCTCAGATTAAGAGCATGCATGCTTGAGAGTACAACACTGATGTCTATTGGGATTCAGGAGACCCTTCATTCAAAGCCTTTTCCCCTATAGTATCACTAGTGCTGGCCAAAACAGCAGGTGTCTTTATGCAATAAGCATTACTTTTTAATCCATTCATGCAATAAAGGATCTTACCTTTTCGTAAGGTATCTGAAGCAGCTCCAGCACCACACTGTGGGCCCCCATATTTCTGAGCAGGCGCTGCTGTTGCTTGCGGTTTCGGCGACCAGATGTGTTCTCCTGCACACATAGCTTGCTGAGACGCAGGAGTATCTAACGTTTGACAAGATAAGTCAGTTGTGCAGATAAAAAAAAAAAAAAATATTAATATGATGCTATAGCAAGTGTGAAAGTGAGGGGAATCATACTTCTCTGACCACTCTGTAGTTATAACTACTTGTGCTTTCTGGTTTCTTTGGCTTTCCAGATCCCTCCTGCAATAAAAAAAAAAAAAAAATTAAAAAAAAGCCTTGATTCAGAACATGACAAAACATGGTCAGACCCAAGCAACCCGCAAAAAGGGGGAAAAAAAAAAAACTGAGAAAGGAAGAACTGGCATGCTGGGGGCAACACATACTTGTGGGAATGGCTGACAGTGGACTATGGTTATTTAAGTGGTAGACTACAAATACAGAATTGGTATTAACTGGATCATTGATTTAAAAAAAAAAAAAAAAGTTTTCTGTGAAAATAAATTGAGAAGGGAAACAGAGAAGGGGAAGAAGGAATATTAAAGGGTGGAGTGTGTTCAAAACATAGTGGCTCGTAATTAAAAAGATAAATATGGTAAGGATGCACCGAAATTGGGCCTATCCCATTTTGCCCAAAAATGGGTCAAATTTGCAGAAACATAAAAAAATAAAAAAGTTTTTTTGTAGTGCCAAGTTTAATAGACCTGCTTGCATTAACAATTCGAAATGATTATATATCACAATGAAAGATAGTAATGACTTAAAAGGTCAAGAATACTGCACAGGGGGAGGAGGGGGGGTGGAAAACACTGGGGATGGGGAACACAGTGGGCCAGGGGAGGGGGGGGGGTGGAAAACACTGGGGATGGGGAACACAGTGGGCCAGGGAGGGGGGAAAAGAACACAATGGCCAGGGGAGGGGGGTAAGGTGGGCAACAGGGGAGGGGGAAAGGAACACAACAGGGAGGGGAAAAGGAACACAATGGGCCAGGGAGGGAACAGGAAGGAGGCCAATGGGCCAGGGAGGGGAAAGGAACACAATGGAGGGAGGGGGGGAGAAAGGACACAATGGGCCAGGGGAGGGGGGAGAAGGAACACAATGGGCCAGGGAGGGGGGGAAAGGGGGCCAGGGAGGGGGGAAGGAACACAATGGGCCAGGGAGGGGGAAGGAAACACAATGGGCCAGGGAGGGGGGAAGGGACACAATAGGCCAGGGGGGACACAAGGGGGAGAGGAACATTAAGCAGGGGAGACCATTAAAAGAAGGGAGAAAGGAAGTTTTCCATGTTAGATTCATTAATATCCAGGGGTGAGGAACACCATGAGCAGGTGGGGAGGGGAGGTGGAGGGAAACACCATGAGCCAGGTGGGGAGGGGGGAGGGTGAGGGAACACCATGAGCCAGGCTGGGGGAGGGGGGAACACCATAAGCCAGGAGGGGGGAAGGGAACCAGAGCCAGGGGGGGGAACACCATGAGCTGGGGAGGGGGGAGGAACACAGAGCCAGGGGATGGGGGGGGGGGAAAGGAGGGAGGAACACACAGAGCCAGGGGATGGGGGGGGAAGGAACACAGAGCCAGGGGATGGGGGAAGGAACACAGAGCCAGGGGATGGGGAAGGGGCAGAGCCAGGGATGGGGGGGAAGGACAAGCCAGGGATGGGGGGAAATGTGGGATGGGGAAGGGGGAAGGAACACAGAGCCAGGGTGGGGGGGAACACAGAGCCAGGGTATGGGGGCGAGGAACACAGAGCCAGGATGGAGCCAGGGAATGATGGGGAAGGAAACACAGAGAGCCAGGGATGGGGAAGGAAACACAGAGCCAGGGGATGGGGAGGGAAAGGAAACACAGAGCCAGGGGATGGGGGAAGGAACACAGAGGCCAGGGGATGGGGGAAAGAATACAGAGCCAGGGGATGGGGGGGAAGGAACACAGAGCCAGGATGGGGTGGGGAGGAAACAATGGGCCATTGAGGGGAGGGGGAGAAAGGAACACAATGGGTGGGAGGGGGGGGGGAAGAACACAAAAAAAAAGTGGGGAGAGGAACATTAAGCAGGGGGGACCACTAAAAGAAGGGAGAATGGAAGTTTTTCATGTTAGATTAAATTCATTAAAAAAAAAATCCTATAATTTTATTTATAAATCATTTAGGGGGAAAGTCATTTTCAGCCAAAGGCATCCTGAATTATTGGTTTCGGACCAGAATTTTCATTTCAGTGCATCCCTAATATATAGTGTAGCTAGATTATGAAGAGGTCATTAAGAGTGCTATATGGAGTGGCTAAGGCAATTATGTGAAGGGGGAAAAGAAAAAGCAAGTGCAGGAGATAACACAAAAATATGAGAAAGAGGGAGAGAAAAGTCAGTAAGTGATTTATCAAAAAGGGAGAGGTGAGGTGGCATGAGGAAGGGGTAAAAATGGATCTAGACACTTCGTTCCAATTTCTGAAGACTTACAGCATTTGGAGAAAACACATTTTGCCCCTCCATCATATTCTAAAGTAGCCTTTTACCCTGTCAAGGGGAACGCATGCAACACTGACAAAAACAAAGCTAAAACAAACATAAAAAGGGCCAATACTTTTAAGTTTACTAATTCAAAACAAAGTAAGATGTATGCCTATATAAGTTCCACCCCTTCAATAAAACTTTCCAGTTGAGGTAAACCGAAGAAGCTCAATTATACCAGTAGTACACCAAGTGGCTAACTGGGGATCACGTTAGATTTAGTTCCACAGCTGAAGAGCTCTATTGACTACAACTGATCTATAATTTGATTATATTGGTCATTAAATTTAATAAACTTTAAAAAGGAAGTACAGTAAGGAAAACCATAACAATGAGATAAAAGGAACACTGAAAAACATTGGAAGTTACAAGGTTATCAATGACATATGTTGTGGTAGCACAGGGAGAATATATCCTTTGTGTGATACAGGACATAAAAAAAAAAAAAAGTCTGCCAATTAAGTAAAAATTAGGAAGAGTAGGCAAAGAAGAGGGGAAGGAGGGAGATATATGTCTAGCTCCCTATAAAGCAAAATTAAATAGATTTTTCTTATTTGCTGCACTTGTGTCATTTTATAGAGGGCAATACCCATAGAGGAGCGGGTCAGCAATTCTTGTAACATTTATACAACATACCTCCTTATGACCTGCCTCCCCTGCTTGCGCCTCTGGTGTCTCCTCTGGGCCAGATCCTTTGTACACCCAAAGCTCTGATTTCTCTACAATGGATCTCAACTGGTCCAGATCCTGCTTTATTTGCTTATAGTTATCCACATCTTGGCTGGTCACTAGAAGCTGGACCTGCACCCAAAAGCAGTGGTCAGTGGTTCTTTATGCAAATCATGGTTTCTCAGCGTTAATGTCCATAAACCACCTAACAAACCTGCTTGAAAGCTTGTAGCACCTCCTGTCGTTGGCTGAAGTGCCTAAAGAGTAGATGAAGCGCTCCAGACACAAGCGGAGGGTAATCATGCATTGTGAGATGAAGGAGCACACGCAGAAATGTTCTGCCACCATCGTCATCTAGATCAAGTGGAGTATTCTCTTCACTAAAGGTATAGAAGGAAGCAAAAATATGTTGGCTGCATGCAGGGCTTTTGCCACGGGGTGGTTATGGGCACAAGTGCCTACTATGGAAGAGGTAGAAGCCAAAATAGCAGATAACTACCGAATGGATACTTTGACTGCCATTGCCCAGAACAGCACAGTACTTCACAAAGGGTAGAGTACGTTGGGAGGAGTTTGGGGGTTGAATAGGTGGGGTGTCATCTGCATATGGTTATCTCCGGTCTTGTGGTTTGTTCGACTTTTTATTACACGTAGTCCTCACTTTAACACTGACTTGTTTACTGACAGCACGGACTTACAACCAGCTCTCTAGCACAGGGATGAGCGATTCCCATGTTCAAGAGCTGTTTTATGCTCTGGGAATTTTCCCTGAACATAGACAAGATGGATTCCCTCCTCTGGTGTGTTTTGTCTATGTTCGGGGGAAATTTCCCCGAACATAGACCTGCTCTAGTTTGCATGCTCTGTAGTGCATCCTCACTTATCGACCAGTTGGTTTTGCAACCGAGTCGTAAGAACGGAAAAAGGTCGGTAGGTGAGGAGTGCCTGTATTTTACTATTTTTTGCTTGCCAATAGGTTTGTTATCTTTTGTTGATATTACATCTGAGTTCATTAGACAGCACACAGATAACAAATACAAAGTACCTATATAATGTGTGCACAGAGGATAGTACATGCAAGACCATATAATGCATCACTTGAATATTCTATTAAATTTGTTATCACAGAGTTTGGATATAGAAGCTTTTCCAATATGAAAATATGGCACACAAAGTGCCACTGTATGCCTTCTGATTGTATCGTCTTTGCATCTCAAAAGAGGTGAGCAGGAAAGTCACGATCTACACATACGCATCCCTCAAGCCAACACTGCACAATTATTTACAGCTAAAGAATGGTTTACATAACACAAGGTCGGTAAACACGTAGGTAGCTAGGTTTCATTAAAGTGTAAGTTTAACATGAATTGCAGAATACCAAGCACACATACATTTATAAGAGATTCATACAGGGAAGGTAAAGAGATTTGAAGTAGCCATGGTTCCTGGAATTTTGCTGTTCAGAGTGGGATATGCTACATTTACAGCGTTTAACCACTTTGCTTGGAAATTAGTAACTCCACCTCAATAAGTGTCAGCGAGCCCAGAACAAGAGTTCCTAGCTTACTAAAGTAATTTAAGTTTCACTGCTCAGCCAATGAAGAATGTCAGAATCGACATTCAGCTTCTGCAGCTCTGCCTACAGTTAACAGCGCCAGGGTACACTTGCCATAACCGCTACAGTGGGCACTTTTGATCGAAAACAAACAAGGTTTCACACGGTCATATAAAGCAGGTCTTGGATCGTTAATATATACCTAGTACTTTTATTTATATTTCTGGCCTAAAGGCACTATGGTAATACTATTTAAGTGTATGCTGCCCCATACATATTCCAATACTGTGTAGGTTCTTAAACACAGCCTGGACTGTGTACACCAGACACCTTTAGGAGGTAAGCACTAAAGAGAACTGCTGGGAATGTAAAGTAAATTTCAAGTTTAGGGCCAAAGTAGCTGACCTGGAACAAATACAATTTTAACTTTAGTGAACAACCATGACTTTGCTAGTTGCTTAACTACCAAGAGAGACATAATATAAATATTCTAAAGCACGTGAGGCTCATAAGCATGAACATTTACATTTTAATAATGTTGTGTTGTATGTACTGACACCTTTTCTATTTTTTGTATATATTCATATTGTTGTACACTTTAGGTTACATTACTTTGTGAGAAATAACTTGTTTATGTGCATTTAGTAGTTATCCGCTTAATCACATCGCCCATTTAGGGCACACATTTTAGCATTCTGTAGTTATCAGTAGGTTAATCATACAAGACTAATACTTGCCTTCCTCCAAATATTCCTTCAGCTTGTTCTTCAATATGCTCAAAATCCAGAGCCCCTGCAAACCAGAAGATATTATTGGAAAAACAGCATGGGCATGTGTGCAAAGAATGGACCTACTAGTTCATGTTAAACTGTTTTGGTTCAAGCTACTGCATTAAAATGAAATCATACTATGTGTAATGTAAAGGAATATAAGATTGTATGGAGGTCATTTGGAGAATACCTCTTAACCCATTAAGGATGGAACCAAATTGCAATCAAAACAAAACCTGGATTTTGCGCTATTTGTGGTTCAACCATAATTCACCTCTTTCATATTAAGTTCACTCGCACTTATTATATATCATTTTGTTCAGGAGAAGTAGGACTTTCATTTCCTATCAAATATTTCTATATGAAACAATTTAATATGAATAAAATCTAAAGAAGTATGAGAAATTAAGAAATTTTTATTTTTCAAGTTCTACGTGACATTTTAACTGTCATAATACTGTTGGCTTTTATTGAAATGAAATGCACATATTTGTATTCAGTTATGTATCACGAGTGTTGTAGAAAGTTACAGGGTTAAATATAGGGCTTGCCAATGATATTTTCTGAAGTAGTAGAGATCCAGGCACTCCTTGGTTCAAGACAGGTACTTGATTAGGAACAGTACTATGCCACCCCTATCCCCCATCGTTTAGAGCAACCCTTTCGAGGACGGCATAGTACGCCCGCCGTCCTTAAGGCATTAAGTAAGCTTTTCATTCTATCCCCAAGTCTTTAAGATTCAATTTTACCACTCAATAGTTTTTTTTTTTTCTTCATTTTACAAACATCTAACACTTGTATATTTATAAAGTTTAACAAATCCCAATTCCCGTCATCTATAACATATAGGATAATAGGTCAGTTTGATGGTATGGTCTACTAAATATCAAAAATATGCACTTTGTTTCAACAACCCAAGGCACTAATACCAAAAGTCTGTACAATGACTACTGCCAGTGGCTGGAGAGTTTTGTCCCTGTAAGTAGTCAAGCTTCCGTGTCAAAACGTTGGGTAGTGCTGATTGAATAAAGATTAAGCTTCATTCTACAGCTCCACAGAGATTACAAAATGATAATATGGGGTACAGAACAATCTGTTTTTGTTCTCAGTCTTACCAGGGACCACTGTGGAGGAATCGGAGCTTCCACCATCTACACTTTGGGCATTGCTCTCGTCGAACTCACACTTGAAAATGCAAAGGAGGCAGGAGATGCGGTAATCCAACCGTACATTCAAAATGAACTACAAAAAAAAAAAAAAAATTCAAAAGACAAGACTGGCCATCATTTATGTATTGAATATTCCATATAAAAAGAAAAATGCGAGAGGAGGGGTAGAAAAGTGATATTATACCTGCAAAATCTCAATGATCTTAAGCTTTGTGTCCATCACAAGTATGTCCTCCTTCTCCGGTTCCCTTTGAGGCTTGATGGCCCCCTCAGGAGTGGCCAGTGGAGTTAGTGGAAGAAATCCTCCACCACGCAGCACCACCTGTGTCATTAACTCTCCTACACCATGTATGGACCGCATCACATTGCTGCCACCTACAAAACAGTCTGTCTTTACAAAGCAGATTAAAGAGGTGCACAAACCGATTAACCCAGAACAGAACTGAGACACAGAGCTTTAAATGCCAAGCCAGACTTTAAAAGCTACTCGCAAATAAGCCTAGAGGGTCCATGACACTCACCAGGACTCAATTTTCACTAGCCAATGGCTAGTAAAGGTTTTCAGATATGCAGAAATAAATGCAATGCAACATACTTGCTAAATAGCATGTTCATTTAATAAACTGCAGATGCATGGTGCAGTAGTTCTAACGAAAGAACAAGCTCCTGAAAAGCACTAAATCTTTATATTTACCTTTGTTTTCCTCCCCTTTGCCCATCTTGCTGGATGGAAAGCTGGAAGTCAAATGCACACAATCCAGAATGGCTAGAAGGATCTTTGTTAGACGAAGGAGATCATTGAAGTTGTAGAACCCAAAGTAGATGAGGTTTCTAGCCAAGTTCACTACCTGAGATAAGAAAAGACAGATAGATGTAAATAGTACAAATCCACACATTCAATATACAGAGCATTTTTTTTTTTTTTTTATTTTTTTTTTAAAACAGATCTTGGAAACTATATTAAACAAAAAATAAATAAATCACTGCCTTCAACATAGGGTGTACGCGGATTTATAGGATTGTTCGGGTTTTTAATCAAGTCACGTAAATGATGACTAATCAGGCCAATTGCCCTTTAACATGTTTAAAGTCACAGTTTGTAAACCGTATATTCAGAGTGGAAAATTATGGATACATCATACTGTGTTTAGAATTTCTTCTTCAAGGTCATTCAAGTGTGTTTTATTCTTTTTATGATGCCAATTTAACGCAAGGAAGACAAAGTTAACGGGTTACTATAAGCCTACTGAGAGGGGTGACCTTTCAGGGGAATGGGGGAGGGGAAGAGAGATCGAAATATATATGTTTGCCAATAACTGTGGTTGTTACGTGGAAAACAGAAGGACCTCCTGTGGGTGGTCTTTTCTGTTCTCCCTGGTCAGTCATATCTTCTGCATAGGGTCCATGTCTAAGATTTTACTGCGAAATGGGTGAAACATGTTTTTCCAATAGGTCCTCCCCAAACTATACATTTGCTAGCAAAGCTACTAGGACAATGTCTACACAATATTATGCTCTAAACAAGTATAAGTGAAAATTCCAATGACTTGTACCTTTAAAGATTACACTGCAGACAAATGTAGCTGTAATAAGAACATTCATGCTCAAAGACCTAGCATGTCCTCCTGGGTACTTACAACTAAATATTTTCATTACCATAACAATTTTTAAACATTAAAGGTATCCCACTATTCAACATCCCTTCCAAATTACCTCAAATGTCAGTTTGTTCTTCTCCTTGTCAGAGAAAGGAAATCGTTGTCCGACGACATCTCTCAGATACTCTTCCACAAACTCCATTGTTTGAGCAAACCGCTCCTTTATATCCTCTCTCGATGTCCCACTACTATCGTAGCTGGAAGAAAAAGATATAAGCATAGGTAGGATGTGAAGATTAAGTTCCTCAGCTTCTGTGCTCTCCCCCAATGATCATAGGGTGATCAGCAAGAATTAAAAGTAAAATCTTAACATTTGTTCAAAAGACAAATTCTTGCATATAAGAAGCACAAGCTGCATGAAGAGGTTCTTCCTAAAATGAGCACAACATGTTTCAGCTGGATGCCTTCATCGGGTGCATACTGATATTGTCCTTCTGTCCCTTTTTTTCTTCAAAACTTTGGCGCCGGAAATCCTTGTAGAGCTGCCCACTTCGGACCGGTCCCGTCACTTCCGGTTTCATCTAGTGATCAGTCCTGATCACTGGAAGTATGCGCCACGCACTGCTGGAAGTGACGCATCTGAAGTGGGCGGGTCTACAAGGATTTTTGGTGCCAAAGTTTGAAATATGCCATGCTATATTATACTTGAGCCAGTTATTTATGCAGGCTCATTAAAATGAGTAGGATGCAACTATAACAAATATTTAAGATTCACACTGTGGATACTACAGGTTGTATTGCCCTATGTGAGCTTTTCTCTTTTAGAAATACCTTTGACAGTTAAAATATTATATATCTATATCTATCTCTATATCTCTTTGTAACTACACCTTCCTTACCACTCCACATATCTGTTGTCACATTTTATATTTGTTGCAAGTGCGCTATCCACTTGATTTTTTTATGGTTTTTATCCTATGTATTATGTGAAATTATGTGGTTGATTTCACAGTGTTTTTTAGCAGCATTACTTTAATAACTACTACAGCGCCATTCAGTACCACTATACTTTTTTTCTATATACAATGTGGAGGAGGGTTAAAGGGTTTGTTCCATCTCTGAAATATAGATCTCAGACTTACTCCTCAATGGCAATCTCTGATGGTATTTCTGACCACAAACGAGCATACTTTACAGGGGTCACTTGTTCCTGAGGATCTCGATCAACATGCATATGAAGCATAAGTCGGCAAAAGGAAGCACGCAGATCAAATGGCAGGTTCTCGTCAGACATACAACGAAGGATGAGGTCTACATCTAGCTGACCAGAGATCTCATTAATGGCTAAATATTGACGATCGAGGCACATGCGAGCGAAGAGGTTCAACTGATACCTGGAACACAAGGAAAACATGTACCAGAGTCCATAACACACAGCAGTAATTTAGACACAAGAGTTAACCAGTTAACCTTTCACCTGTAGTAGCTCAGAACATCTTGGTCCTCTTTCTGACCCTCTTTAGCATCTTGTGCAAGCTCTCTAATACTTTTGCTTCGCGTTTCCTTGTTTCCATCTCTCCAGAAGAGCCAGACTTCTTCCTCATCTTCCCCGGTTTCAAGTGGGCTGTCCCCAGTGGTAACTCCTTCAAACTCAAAGCGTGACAGAACAAGCCTGCAAAGCCCAATTCAAGCATCAGTCCATGTCCCAAGGTATACAATTAACCAACAATCTACTAATCGACGCAATAAGGACAGACAGTAAGACGCTGTAGAGCTTACTTTGTTTCTATGAGAATATCGGCATTGACTGGGTTTAATACAGCTTTACAGATCAACTCTTGTGTAACTGGAATAGACTTATTCATGGACACACAGAGGTCTGACAAGTAGTCCAGGAACCTGAAAGAAAAAAAAACAAACAAAAAAACACTTATATCAACTTAGGCTATGCATACACGGCTATCCAGGTATAACAGACCTGTATTCACATCCTGCATCTTTTTGATTGACCAAAACCTTTGAGGCAAACAATAGCCCCACCAAGGTCATCAGGTTCCATACAAACTAAATATGACTCCATGTCCACTAGCCCACCTTGGTTCTCTGTTCTTTCTAACCAGGCTCACAAAGGTGTCTATCTCCGCTGCAGTGATGTGCTTTTCAAGTAGTTTGCGATTATTGTGCAACAGAGCAGTGATTGTGTCTTCTGCCAGTACATCATAGCCTATCTGCTTCTGCATGAAGCCAAACTGCTTGGCAATATATTCCTGGGGAAGAGAAAAAAAAAAACAATGCATACGATATTTACACATTGTCAACAGTTGAAAGACCACTTTGTACCTCTGGAAGGACTTTAAGTACATATTTAATACATTAAAGGGATACTGTGTGCTTTGTGTTTGTTTAGGAGAGGAGTTCTCTTTTTCCCCCCCCCAAAAGCAAGTCTTACTCTTGCCCATTACCCACCTATTTTTGCAATTTCTTATTGCACAAGGGTAATTGTGTGAAAAACCTAAAATCGTTCACCTGATTTTTACGGTAGTCTTGCTGAGAGTGTCTCAAAACCCGGTAACACAGCCTGCATATATGTCTGAATGGTGCATGCCTTTGGTCACCCAACTCCTCCAATCTCAACATTGGCCCATCTCCACAGTCAGTGAATGGAGCCTGTAGCAGCTTGAAGATCTAAGTAAGGAATAGAGTTTTACCTATCAGTCTCAACAGCTCACCATAGATCATCTCCAAGTATGCGGAACTAGAAGCTTACCTGTTTTAGAATGTTCTGCTCGCGCATCAATTTCTGACGTTCTCGATTTGGCTTGTTTACCAGTACCTCTAACACATCCTGCCCAGAATTCACCCCAGCAGTCACAAAGTACACCAGCTCCTCCAACAGTTTGGTGACAGATCTAGCAAAGAGTAAATCTGTCAAAACCCACACTTTCAGGTACACATTTCCACATGTTTTAAGCAGCTACTCATGCACCTTCTTTCATTCTGTGTAATTGTGCCCTTCTCTAATTTGCCTGCAATGGAGGAGAGAACTTTACTGGCATCATTTGCAAAATCCAGATCCCGCACTTCAGCTGGTGACACCGGGACAATCGCAAAGGCTTCCTTGTCTTCCTTCACCGGGGATGTTCCAATCTAGACAAATCGAAAGGAATTTAAGAAGAGAACCTGAGACAAGCTGACCAGACAAAAAAAAAACAAAAAAAAAAACACACTTTAAGCAACAACTGGATCAGTTGATATGTGAAATAAATATTCCATAACAATCCACACAATTTTCTTGGTTATCCTTTATCACCACTGTATATCAGTGATTGTGCGGTCACATCTTACATTTTATCACCATAACCACTTGAACAAGTTGACAAATCTAGTACATTTAATCCTAGTAAATATTTCTGAGTACCAATGCAGTGATGTTTCAACTGAAAAATATGTTGACTGAAATGTAAGCAAACAATTAGTCCGTTGGGAAAAAAAAAAAAAAAGGAAAAGGAATAAAAACCCACGTTTTTATTTTATTAACACTGTTCCTTTAACACTTTGTTTCTCAAGTTTGTGGTTGGTTGAAAAGACTACTTTATCACAGCAATAAATGACCTACCATAAAGAAAATAATTTAGGGTGGATTATATTTACTTATGGTGCAGAGTATAACAAAACTTCAGTTTATTTTCAGTTTAGCCCCTTTCTTCAAGTCTTAACTGAACTAAAACAAAGATCTGGGAAGTATTTAAGTGTGGGTTTGATTCAATTCTCATCCTGTACTCCTACAATATAAACAAAATTGATGGTGCACCGATAAAGTAATGTACAACACCTTTGTAGAGTTTTCTATAGTACAACCAAAGTGGAAAGAATCAGACAGCCAAAATAGTCTCCTGCCCATGAGCAGACTTTCCTATGTTGTAGACCTTATATTTCAACAGGTAGGTCACTATCCAAAATGTACTCACGCGCAACATGACTGGCTTTTCCTCGTCTTTATCTATTGGACTGTTCGTGCTGTGGACCCAGGTGTTGGTACATAGATGCCGGAGCCTCACATATGAATTTCTAGAACAGGACAGGAGGGTGAGAGGACATTTTAAAAGCCTCCTTCCCTACAATAAGGAGAAGTGAGCCAGCAAAGGACAGGAAGACTTCTGCAGACAAGCAGAATCTACTGCATGTGAAGAAAAGATAGCATGAAAATTCTTACCTGGGCACTAAACTGTCACCACCACGCAGCGTTGTTGGATCAAGCTCAAAGATTGATGAAATATCATTTCCCTCAGGCACGGAGACTAAAGTACACATCATCTTCTCAGGCACCACACGTAGATTAGCTCGGGCTGGGTCTTGTTCTGCATCCATCTGTTGATTAAAGTACACAATGAGGAAAAAAGCAAACAAGTCCAAAAGGAAGCTGATGCTTATAGGTCTTCAGTATTAAATTCAACATGCTACGTTATCGAACATCTATGACAGCTTTGGCCAAGATGCTCCCCTCTGGTAATGGAAACTGAAGTGCAATGGTTTGAACATTTACTCAGATTCATAGCTATTAAAGTTTAACGGAGTACATTTTCCCCCAAAACATTGATCGCAAAAACAAAAAACATATCCAAGTGTTAATAGCGAGTCAAGTTTGGTTCTCATTTTACCATTAACAAAGTTTTATGTGAGTTGCATTAATTGTGAATTTCCAGGCACTCTAATAACCATAATTTTGATTTGTTTCACCTATGCAGTAAGCCAGTAATAAGCCAAGAATGTGGCAGTCAGGCTTTAAGGAAGCTCACTTCTGCTTAAGCAGAGTGCTAGACCAAAGGCTGGGATAGTTTAAAGGGTGTGTATAATCATTAAACAAAATGCTGCCCATCAAAAAAAATAAAAAAAAATATATAAGTATTTTAATTCACCATAATTGAGGAGGATGCAACTTCTGCACCACTTCTATATTTAAAGATCTAAATTGAATAGTCAATCTGGAAGTGGCAGACAAAATGAATGAGTAATATATCAGAAATAAAAGCAAATAGAAGTTGAGTTGTGATTGTGGCCGTTCTGCATTTAATCCTTTAATTATAGGTCTGAGTAATTTTTGAACTTGTTAGTTTTACAGATATGGTGTCTCTCCCCCCTCTATATATATATTCTAAACTATCAGCTATCAAATGTTATAGCTTTACAAATAAATAGATGTCGAGCTTTTTCATCACTGGAAGCTATATCCACTTGTCAACAGCCTCTCATGGGCCATGCAGGGAAAAGAAGTTAAATGATACCATGGATCCAGGTGTGCATGATTAAATTTCCCATTTCATGCCTTACCTGTCCAATCGATCATCTGAGGTTTGGAGAGTATGAGATGGGGAGAGGCAGGGTATGCAAGCCAAGACTAGGAAGCCTGAGAAGGCTTTATGGAAGGCTGGACTAGCAATAGACTAAAAGCAGGATATGGTGAAGGGATATGATCAGACTGATCGCAATATTGGCGGATTCTAGCTACCCTCCCCCTATACTTACGGCAACCTCAGACTCCAGGCTACCTGCCTCATAGTCAGGATTTACCTGGTGGAAAAGAATTGCAAGGTGAGACTAGTCAACTGCAGGGAAATGGACCCAGGACACCAGATCAGAAGATAATCCAAAACCCAAACAAAGGTACAAGGGGTGGGGGAAGTGTGTGGTGGTAGGGAATGCCTCATATCTGGAACAACTACAAGTTTGGAATGGGGCATCATACCGTGAAGAAGATGGCAAGACCAAGTTTCAGTAGATTGTGTAGACAAACTGTTCTAGAAGGAAAGCTCTTTAATATAATGCACGTTCCTTGACAATATGGAAGGTTTAGATCTACTGCAACTAGAGCCAAGAAACAACGAAACCAAGTCACTTGCCTTTTCTGGGCAAGTGGTGGATACAAATACCATGTAATCTGGTTGAGACCTGATAACCTATGCCTTTCATGAGCTTGTTGTGCTGATATTGTAGGCTCACAGTCTAATTGTAATTTTCCGTTTTGAATTTATTATATACACATACACAATATGATTTCTCATATTTGAGATAATAGTCCAATATAATTTGATATACCAATTTGAGTGCAGTATCCTATTTATTGATTTAAAATTTTAAAGGTTTGATTGTAGGGTGACCTTGATACCGGCACCAACATCCCTACTGAGTGCAGTCATCACAGATATTGTTTTAGACCTTTTAAGCACTACAGAGAATCATCACAGCTTACCAAGATTTCTTTAACTCACCTCAGCTGCCAAGTAGTGCCCTGTTGCCAGATGTTTGAAACGAAAAAGGCTGTTCCAGTAACCGGCACCACCTCGGCAGGGATCATGCTGCACAACCTGAAAATAAGAAGCCCAGAGCAGTACATGTATTACTGTATGATACATGAAATGGTAAGGTTATTTTATTTAGCTTGTTAAAATAAATCCAACCAGTTGATACATGGGCTAAAGAAGGTTTAATTTAAAAGTATTAAAAGCATCAAACCATTTCAAGAGCCTCTTTTCGAGCATGAATACTTTTTTAGATTAAATTGAAAAGGGAAACAACGATAAACACTAGTGTTTACTCAGCACCATGTTGATTTTAATGGACAACTAAAAGATAAATATATATTTTTTCCAATAAATTCATTAAATATAAATTTCAAGTTTGAGACTCCATAAAACCTAATCTGAAAATTCTTGGTCTCATTAATTTCGTTAACGAATTGGCAAATCTAATTTGTGGATAGCATAAGATATAGCTAGCCTACCCACCTCCACCTCCCATAATGCTTTGGAACTGGTGGCCGAAGTGGCAGACTGCCTGCCCGTAGTTCTGAGGAACACATGCTGTTTCTTTCTGTGGTCATCACACGTCAAAAACTTCTCCTGCTCTGCATGGAACAGTCGCACAACATCGCCCTGCAAAAAGGATACAATGTGGTTAATGTAACATCCAGAAAGAGGTGTAGTTAGAAGAGTGCAATTAGCTCTTCAAGAACTTGCTAAATTCATGTTTATGATCAGTCAAACACGGCCTATCAGATAACCATGGAAGTTTTATTTCTGATACAGAGTTACTTGTACTCGATACGGACAATACGGCTCCTTACAGATGTGCACTACAGTCTTATCAAATCAATTTATATTTGATTGATGATGGCCTTAGTGCCCATTAGGGTTGCTGTAGTTAATATTGTATTAAAAGACAAGTTAACATTTTACTCTTCAACTGCTTTAAAAATACAGGAAATGGGCAGGATGGGAAGGAAAGCAACTTCAACCACAGTTCCTAACATTAGTGTATTTTATTATGAGAATACACGATGTTGCCCACTTTGCTTTGAAGAGTTGAATGTAAGGAGAGATTGTGATCTTTATACAATCTTGCTCAGACAGGCGTGGGTATGAATGAAGGAAGTTTGTGTCCCCCCCATGCTCCCTTAGAAAGGGTTAACATTTACCTTCTTTCCAGCTCTCCATGGGACTGCAGGCACTGGCCCTGCTGCTTTGGCTGACAGAATTAAAGTCAGCCAATCCACTGTTTTCCCACTGGAGATCACAAAGGAGGTGGGGGAAAACGCCACCCTGGCAAATCAGCATCTTCTCAGATGCATTGATTCAATACATCTCAGATGAAGGTTCAGTGTCTCCATGCAGAGGGTGGAGACACTGAGGAAGCACTCCTAGTAGCCATCTGAGGTATGGCCATTGAAGGTATCCCTATGCTTTAACGTAAACAGTCTTCTCTTTTTTTGAAGATACAGTGCTTACAGCAAAAAGCCTGAAGGGAATGATTATACTCACTAGAACTGATAAAATAAGCTGTAGCTGTTCTGGTGACTACATTGTCCCTTTAATAAAAAAAAAATTATATGAGGTTTGAGGTTTAAAATCCCATCAACATTCGGTCACAAGTATTTATGGAATAAAGAATCCACACCGCAATGTTTTTCATGATGAGTGGACTGCTCAGTAAACTTAAAGCAGCCTGGTTCACAGTTCTGTATCCCAGGCTGTTTGCAGAGATCATCCTAGCCACCAGCGCACCTGTGTAGCCATAGCTTGGCTCTCCAGGAAATCATCAATACACATTTGCATTAAAAGTAAAAAATGTGAAACTATAAACAACATTGTGATAACAGCAACATGGAATGGCTCTTTAAGTAATAAGCCAGATAATGATTTGCAAAGATGTTTTAGTACCGAGAGTGACCCTGTGAGGGCAAATTGTATTTTTTCCATACAATATCAATATAATCTTTATTTTGTTTTCACAGTAATAACATTGCATCACAGATTAACATACATCGACATTTACCAACAAAACACAATAACATACCATAAGTAGTTGAGAGGAGTAAAGACTGAGCTCTATGAGAGGAGCTTATAGCAGACCCATTTAATTTTAGATTAGATCATAAAAATAACTATTTGAGCTGAATGAGGAAAGTGATTTTCTCTTATTCATACAATTTATATTCCTATTTTAAAGTCTTACTGGTTGTACAGTGGTCTTTAATACTAGCAGGGCCTATAACCCAAATGCAATTTAACATGAACAATTTCAAATGCATTAAACCATTAATCTTTCTAAAGTATGATTAATTTCAGTGCTACAATCACACTTCCTGATTAGCACTAGTTTGACTCATAACCACCTTCCTAGTGTAGTCTTTATCCAGGTGAGCCTTTCACATTAATAGTTCAGCACAGTAAGACTACATTCCTCGCCAAGCCCCTTTCCCTCAAAATAGTCTCCATTTTACAGATTGCTTACATATTTCCCACAATGCACACAGACATTACTCACCCCTTTCAGAATATCATCCTTATTGTCACTCCATTTCATGAATAAAACAATTTTCCAGCTTGTGTTGCAGTTCACAGAATTTACCTAAAAAAAAAGAAAAGATGTTAACAGTAAAATGGGAAAGCAAACTTTCAGTCTTGATCACAGACAAGCCCAACAAAGAACAGGACAGTAATAATTCACAGCCTTCACGTAAAGCAAAGTAATGCACATTTACTTTAACAAATTCTCACCTCGTTGCATCCTGTGTTGTCTGCTAGCTGGTGGCTACTTGCATGTAACGGCTGACCGGCATTTACTGGGTTAAGGACAACTTTATCGCCAATAACAACCTGCACCAAATCAAAGTCAAGTGTGACCATAACAACAACAAAAAAACACAAACTAAAAAGGAAAACAAGCTGCAAGTAAGGGTTCTCAGCTTAACAATCATGATTTTACCCTCCTTCCAGTGATCTTGACATCTGCACGACTTGAGGGTGTGCAAGATCAAACTCTAGCTATCCAAACTTCCCTTTGACAGGGAAGGCTGGACTTCAAAACGCAAAAACAAATAATTTGCGGCAGGCAACATAAGATGTCAATGTTACAGTCAAAACATTTTCCTGAAACATATCCGTAGTTCAATTTCAAATAGTTAAAGAGCAATCAAGAGTAGCATCTAGCAATCACAATGAGCGATTGTTCTTGTCCTATTTGCAAATTGTTCCTAGATGTAGGACATGTAGAAACTGGGCAGAAAAGCTTTATTGGCACAAACAAATACAAAATATTTCTTCAGTTACAAAATGCTACAGGATTTAGCAAAGGTAAAGCTGAACGGGTCCAGGCTGCAAATAAAAGGTTACATAATTCCCAATGGATTTGTTATACCTCAATGAATAACGCCAACCAATTAGCACTGACATTAGGAGGAGTCTGACCCAAACAAAAGCCTAAATGGCTAAATATAAAACCACAAATCATTAATTTGGGTCACAGTGAACAGCGATCTCAAGATAATGCAGAAATATGCTTTATTCCCTCAAGGCATTAATTCAACGTCTGGCATAACAAGACCTGACTAGACTTGGAAAACTTCTTTATGTATTCATGTTAGGATTACTCTTACCACATACAGATACTATGTTAGGCTGCACTGTTTATTAGGATTAAAACTAACCATGGACACAAACAAGGAAATAGAACATTCCAAGAACCTGGAGAATGGTCACATACCAAGTTTCAATGTAAAACAACTTGCCTTACTTTATAAGCATGCCAATACCCTCACTTGTTAATTCCTCATTCAGCAGCCACTTCAAACAGGAAATGGACTACTGAAGCCAGCTGAAAAGATGGTATCAGTATGAATTTTAGATCATAGATGAAAATTATGCATGTACTTGCTTTTTTTTTTTTCTTTTTTTTTTAAATAGGACAGTATGGGAAAACATGGACTGGCTGAAAACTAGCCAAATCTTCCATTCAAACTTGCCCTTTGCTATAACCACCATTGTAGAAGTCTCCCACACTATATGAGTAGTACTATTACTCAAACCTTTATATCCTGCCTTCAGCTGAACCACCCACTAGATGAAGACCACTTGTTCCATCTCTATTTTGCAAAGAGCTCCCCAAATTTAGATTAGAAAGAGTCAGATTTGCTACATATTTTGAAATCCATGAAGACCTCTACATTTATCTTCAATGAAATACCGGATGCACTTTGCATGCACTTGCATTTCCGAATAAGAGGGCACTTCGACTTCTAGAGCTGTAGCTTCTCCACAACTACAAAAAGCCACAACGAAGACTGTCTTACTGGTGAATTTTACAAATTCCTTACGTACACTATCCCCGATCGAGCGCAGCTTGTAAAATGGTTGGATGTAGAACCAGGAGCCTTCATTCCCAGCTTCATCAAGGGTCACACGCATGGCATTCTTTTCCAGTAACGCAGGAAGACGCTTGTTCACAGTAAGGTATTTGTTACTTTTCAGGTGCAGCATCTGATAGAAAGTGTAGAGTAAGTAAAGCAATAAAGTATGCTATATCGATCACAGCCTCTTGTATTACCTTATACTAATCTTACTGCCCTAGCTGTATTCAATAAATACGCATTACAACACAATAGATGGCAAACCATGGATTTCCTTTTGACTCTAAAGTAGTGTCAAGAAAGGAGCCACTCATAAATGCAGCAGGACTCTGCATATTAGAATAAGTGTTTACATCAATATACATGAACTTATTTATAAGGGACAAGAAAGTTAAACACCTTTGTTATTCTGGATATGTATTACACTGCAGGAACGAATTGCAAAGACCACAAAAAGTGTGAAATCTGTATATAATGCCTACAGAGGTTCTTTATTCATACTATACAGAACCATTTCCTCTGCTGTATATTTAGTATCCTTACTTCAGGTCTAAAGGGTGAAGCCAAATGTTAAGTGCATAGTGAGTTAATCTCCTTAGTGGACTTAAAATGAGATAAATAAATATACCTTTCTCTTCTAATAACTCATAATAAGTAACCTTACTGGTATACTCAAAATTAATTTAAAAATCAATTTAATATCCAGACAAATATAAAAAGAAAATAACATTTGTTAAAAATAATATGTCTATTTAAAATTACTGATAAAAAGCCATGCAAAAGTCCAGACCTTATTCGAAATATTTTTATGAGTCCTAGCAGTTTTTCTATTCTACCATACCCTTAAAATAAAATAAATAAAGCATGTTCTTTTTAGAAACAATAACTGTTCTCCCTATAAGCGGCCACCTCCATGTCAATGCACCTGAATAACATTCCCGTACTGGATAACTGTTCCCAAGAGCTTGCGATTTTCGGTATCATTTTGCTTTTTCTCCAGGTCAGCTGCATGCTGAAGAAATACACAAACAAGCAGATGAATCTTCAAGTATCTACTGAAGAACATTTTTGAAAATACAGGCAATTGTAGTGTATTGCACCTTAGAGACCAAAACCAGGTTCTTATCGCAGAACATTGAGTAACAGTCAGATGTTTATTTTATACAGTTTCCAACACACTGCACATAAATAATCCATGGTTTTAGCAGAAAACAAGGTAGCAGTGTTAGTGTGTCACATGGGAACAATAAGTACATCAGGCAGAGAAACATGTTCTTACGATTTAGAAAGATCTGCCTGCAGTGATGGGTAAAGGCCACTAGGTGTCCAACAGTAGTACATCGTAAGGATTTACATTAACAAACCATAAAATAAACACTCCTAAGTGGCTCATTTAAAAGTGGTATCGACACTGCCAAACAAGTGCAATGTACGGTCTAAATCTAGCAAGCCATGTTGACAGAGAACTCACATGCAATTTGTTGAGAAGAACAGTATCGGTCGTGTTACTGGCACCAGGTTTTGCAGCTTTCCAAAACTGCTTCTGAGCAGAGTATCTGTTCATGGGACAGAGCCTAAACAGGCAATCTGGGAGGAAACAAAAAACAGACCAAAAGTGTCAAGTATATTAACCAAAAATTTTAAAAAACATTTTACTCACATAGTTAAACGTGGAAAAATTAGCCAACCTAGTCACAGTTTGGCTATTCCAGGCTGAAATTTTTAAATTTAGTTTTCTATTCGTACATCACTGTTTAGTAAACTCTTGTGTTTTATTGTTCTGTAATAATGCTGTATTAAATTATAGAAAGACTTTTTTTATAAAATAAAGATACAATTCACAAAAAAAATCCCAAAACAAAAAAACAAATCTAGAAAATTCACACAAAATGCTACAAAACAAGAAATAAAACATGCAGAATGTAAGACACCCATTATTTACTCTAGGATGGATGCAGTCATACATCGAGTGCAGCTTAATGAGCATCGCTGACTATCCTGCCAAGGCAGGGGACATTAGTGGCAACGGTAGAGGGATTAGCAAGGGCCCAGGAGGAAATTACAGTGACAGCTGGAGCAGACGGCAGATTACGGTCCAGATGAAGAGACAGAAATTATTCGAGCAGATTAAGGCAGAGCAAAAAAATATATTTACACAAAAGGGCAGAGAAGACATTTATTAGAATCCTTTTTGACTTTTATGATGAGCCTTAATTTTCACAGGGAATTCACAAGATATTATCTGCTAGATTGACAGCTCTTTAGAAAAAGAGGTGTTCTTTCAAGCAACAGGAAATTTTAAACGCAGATCTTTTCACAGCAGAAAAAAATTAAAAATAAAAAAAAAAATGAATTTGCCAATCCAGTATGCTCATTTCCCATCAAAACGCACAAGCTGTATTCTATATTTGTTTCCTGTTTGGAACCCAGTATAAGTGTCTTACGCAAAATAACGCCATCACCAGGCTTCAGCGGACTTCTGGACAATTGAATGAAGTCTAAAGTGCTACAGGGACTAGCTTGACAAACTGCAGCTGCCAATAGCCACAGGGCCAAATGGTCCGTCAAACTTTAAACGGATGTTACAGCATTCTGACCCAGAAGAGCCTTTTACACAACACTACTACCACTTTACTTTAATGCAAAGATATAATAAAGCTGCCGGCAGGAATAAGCGACTGATTTCCATGGTGACAAACTCCACTATTACTTAGGTTTTTTTTTCTCCCCAGAATTGTTCCTTATAAAGCACCACTTATGTTTTGGCAAAGTTTGATTCCACTTTTTACATCTGTGCCAGATTTGTCTTCACAGGATAAGCTTTTAGATTGCTGTTAGGAAGGGGTTAACCCTTTCTCAGCAGAACTCCTGCCTGGGAATCTGGAGCAACCCTGCTGAGGAGGGGTGTCTGGGAACAGAGCAGCCTGCTCCAGGACAGAGGCAGCTAGCTTACCAAATAAGGACAGTGTGCTGCACAAATGAGGGGGGTGGAGGGGAATAATGTGTATTTAGTAGGAATGGATGCAGAGGGAAGCATCAGCAAGGAATAAAACGTAGCAGTAAAAGTAACAGTGTCTGCATGTTTCAAACGATGGCAGAGTTCAGGAAGATACAGAGTAAACTCTTTCAGATCTGCAAGCCCAATTTTTTTTCTCTCTTTTTTAAAAAACCATTTAACAAATTGTCTCATCACGAAGATAGATTAAAATAAAGTCAAATAATGGGCCAAAAGGTCATTGAAGGCGATTACAGGAGCCAACTAATCTAGAAAGATTTAACTAGATAGATAAAGGAATATGCAGAGGACAGTATTGTCACTTTATCAAAATATCATGTACAGAAAATAAATCCACACAATGTGGCCCAGTTATTGCAAAATATTCCCCTGGGGATTATGGGTTACTGGTCTTCAACTCTGCACAAATATACACCACTCTAAAATTTCAGTATCCCCCTCCTAATGTGACTTGTCAAATCTGATATTCAACTAAAATTTAGGACAGTAGGACACTTGAAATCCAGAGTTAATAGGCAGCAGCTTGAACCTCAAGGGGCACTGCCAGGAATTAAATTAAAATGTGTTTTATTCGCCACACTAGAGAAAAAGCCGAATTCAGCAATCCGAGGAAAGAGCTCCCTAATCTGAGACAGTAGGTTAACTCTTCACATGCTAGAACTTGGCTCAGCTGGACATTACTCTACACCTAATTATAATCTTTAAAACTGGTTTATAACAATTCATCTTCCCTTTTAAGAGCAACAGAACCGTTATGTTATTTAATCCGGTCCCAGCTGATTAGACATTCTGTAGAAGAAAGTTTGTCCCAAATACCTTTGATGGGTCGGAGCAGATGCAATATTTAAAACCTTGAACGCACTAACAAGACCATTCTAAACACGCATAGTTTATACACAGGCTCAAAGAAACATGATGCATCAGAATACTGCTGAACATGTCCTGTGGTATCTGGCACCAAGACATTAGCAGATCTTTGAAATTATTGGGACCTCTATGGATTTGATTTGTTCAGGGACATGCAACAGGATTGATATCTGAGGAATATTAAAAACTGTTCAAGGTGTTGCCTTGGCCACCAGATTCCCCAAACCATTCCTGAATTTTTGCAGTGTGGAAGGTTGCATTATCCTGCTGAAAATGGCCACTGTCATTAGGCAACAGCATTGCCATGAAGGGTTGCTCGTGGTCTGACACGTACCACCTACCTAGAAATTGTTGCAAAGTAACATCCACAGGAATGCCAGGACCCAAGGTTTCCCAGCAGAACATTGCCCAAAGAATAACAGCCTCAGCCGGTCTGCCTTCTTCCCATAGTGCATCCTGCTGCCATCTCTTCCTCAGGTAAACTATGCACACGCATCTGGCCATCCACCTGATCTAAAAAGAAAATCTGATCCAACAGACCAGGCAACCTCTATTGCTCCACGACCCAGTACCGACACTCACGTTACCATCGAAGGCTAATTTGGCTTTGGACAGGGGTCATTATGGGCACTCTGACCACTGAGTGCATAATAGTTTGCAGTGTATGGGGCTGTTTAGTCTGTGTTCTCACACCTCTTGGCCATCATTATATTTTCCAGCAATTTGAGCTACAGTAGATCTGTGTGATAGGGCCAGACAGGCTAGCCTTTGCTCCCCAAGTTCATCAATGTACCTTGGGTGCTCATGACCTGGACTCCGGTTTACTGATTGAACTTCCTCAGATCACTCTTTGTACGTATTAACCACAGCATAACTCACAGGGCTTGCCCTTTTGGAGATACTCTGACTGTCTTCTTGCAGTCACTTCGAACTTTCCGTTTGCCCATTTGTCCTGCTTCCAACACATGAAATTGAAGAACAGACTGTTCAATTGCTGCTTTCTAGATCTCACCCAGTGACAGGTGCCACAATATAATATAATCAATGTTATTCATTTCACCTGTCAGTGGTTTTAATGTTGTGACTGATCAATGTAAGTCAGTCTTGTAAAACTAGTGAAATAACAAAACCATATCATGCATAACAACTGGCGACTGATACACCATGCATGTGAAAAACCATCTCAAATCATTCACTAGCATATGATTTATTCACGTAGCACCACTAGAAGAAGAAGCTTCAAAATAGGTTAGTGGACAAACAGTCTCACCTTGTGATTTAGGGAGTACATAAGCGTTTTTAAAAAAAAATAAAAAATTTTTTTTTAAATTATTGCTCTACTAACTGATCTCCAACATGTCTAAGCAGCAGTTCAGGACACAGGAGAATCCCGACAGGCAGAAGGACGCCCTTCCAGAACACCGAGCAGGTTTGCTTACATTACAAGGAAATGGCTATAGGGAAACCCAGACCAGAGGCATTGGCAGGAACCCAGGGGAGAAAGGAGGAGGGAATAGCGGAGAATCTTAAAGCAAAGAAAGTCAAGAGTATTTCACAGGGAAGCAGAGACCAGTGAAAGCTTTAATGAGTTACACCAAGCACCATGACCACTTTAACGGTTTGCTGCCAGAGGCTCTTCTGGGATTGGCTAACGGTAATTCTGTGCACAGAAGCTCATTTACCAGAAAGTCCAGTAACTCCCATCACTTTCAGCCATGCTTGGTCTGGTTGAGAATGAGAAGTTGGGAGGGGGCCTGACTCATGAACTAACCAGACATGCTTTGTACGAGCCCCTGCTAACGGTGCAGATTTTTCCGGAGATATATATTTCAGGCTACCGAGCTGGGCCTTCAAGCAGAAGCGCTACCTACTCTGTAGGTGCTCTGCTGACTCTTGAAACCTCTCTCAAGACCCTCAGTTACCAGGACCCAGCTGCGGCAGGATGCAGCCTACTAACGCCCAAGTTGGGGAAGTGCGGCCAACTTCCTCACAGCCACACTCCCCAAGATGGGGAGGCACAACTCAGAAGCCACAGAATGCAGGGCAGATTCCGCACAACTTTGTGGAGCAGTCGCTTCAACGGCTGAATGAGCTGTTTGCCCGATTCTGGGCCACTCTGGATAGTCATGCTGCAGCCACACAGCAGCAGTCTAAGGAGGGAATTCGGAGGGGCGTAAGCCAGAGTGGATGGTCTCTTGGACTCTACCCATCAAGCAACCCAGCCTAAGATCAGCCTGCCTAGGCAGAGGGTCTTCAGCCTGATCAACCACATCGACGGAAGGTTACCTGCCGCAGGCGGCGTTTCAACACCAGGGCCCTCCATCAACCACGCTGTGGGATAGACTGTCTCCCTGAGCCTCCAGATCTGTGGCTCGAAGATGTTGGCCCTCATGTCATTCTGGAAGAGGAATGGTGGCCCAGTCTGCCCCCATTTTGCAGCAACCCTTTGCCGATCTCCCTACCTCCATCATAAACATTCCACACATGGGCATCGGCTAGGACTGGACTAGCTGTCTGGGGCATGCTACGGTCAGCCATACCTGTGGTACAGAGCCTCCACAGGTCTACAGGATCCCATGGTCTTCCTCTAATAAGACTCCAACATGTTGTGCATTACTCAGTTCATCAATGCATGCTTAGCTAGGCATTAGCCCACCAGTCACTCTGGTACTATTAGTTTAGCATGTTTAATCTATAATACTGTTTTTAGCCCAGTGCATTTTTCTAGCACTGACTCATGCAAATCTTTCCTTGTCACTTAATGGCAACCACAGCATTAGGTCTAGCACTGACTCATATCTGGTCTGTTGTGCTGCATCCTACTATATAGCGGTCTCGCAAAAGTTTAGAGTACTCTTACATGCATCCCTAGCCTAAGAGGCAGCATTACTATTTCGTGGCAATCTCAGTATGCTATGTGGTGCTACCTAAAGCAAACAGCACTGTTGTACGGCACTGCAGAATAGGGATACTCTCAGTAAGGATACGGTACCAACTAAGGCAATTTTATCCTGTTATGCAACAATACTCACTACCATTCTCCCTACACACCATTTATAGGTCTGTTGCAACAGGTTAGCTTAGCCTGCAATATTCTGTTTTCTTATCTTGTATATAAAAGAGGCAATGCTAAATGTTGAGGAAACGCTACACAATATATGCGACCTTACAGCTACACTTACTGACTGAAGTATCTTGAGTTTAATCCTGCACTTAAACGAGCACTATAGGGTCAGGAACCTAACCATGTATTCCTGAACCTATAGTGCTAAACCCACCACTTAGGTGGCTTACCCCCTTAAAAGCAATAAAAACCTCACCTTATTTCCATCGTTGTGCAAGTCCGCTGCACTGGCCCCACCCCCTTGGTGACATCAGAATTGCCGATGTGGTAAAGCATTGGATTGGCCAATGGTGGCAAGGGACAGGGTTAAAAGCAGTTTTGACCAATCAGCACCTCCTCATAGAGATGCATTGAATCAATGCATCTTTATGAGGAAAATTCATGCAGAGCGTGGAGGCGCTGAACAACAGTGCAGCAATGAGCCAAGAATCACTTCCAGTGGCCACTTGGAGGTGTCTCAAGGGGCAATGTATAAACTGTATTTTCTCTGAAAAAGCAGTGTTTGCATGAAAATGCCTGAAGACAATTATACTCACCAGAACAACTACACTAAGCTGTAGTTATTCTGGTGACTATAATGTCCCTTTAAGCCTGTTAATTTTTTTATTCTTTAATTTTGTAGTGCAGATTTAACAGTACAGGATGAATAAAACACATTAGCTCGAGTTTGTTTGACAAGAGATCAATAAGGTGTCAAATGCTGCACATTTTTAGAAATTGTACAGAAAGTAGATTCACGATGGTATAGAAAGTAGATTCATGCAGGTGAAACAGTATGGCATGAGTGATAAACGTTAGGAATAGAAATACAATTATGAAATAAAGCATGCCAGAGTGAGTAGAGAACCCTGTGCCCCCAGTAACACAGAACAAGTCAGAGGGAAGATAAAAAGGAGCTACTGAATCAGCTGCATGTGAACACATGGAGAGGCACCCCAGTCCCATTTCAGAGATCATCCAGCAGAATACAGTCCCTGCTTTCCGATGCAGGACTGGAGGGGGACAGCCAGTCAGCCTTTAAAAGCTTGACAGCCAGCCCTGCTTCAGGACCAAGATTGTTGCCATGGAGTGACTTGTCCAAGATCAGCAATGGAGTGGGAGCCGCATCAAGAACACCATGTGTGGTGAGTGGAGAGGGATCAGTAGATTTTTCGGGCGGTCTACCAGAAACAAACAGTCCAGCTTCTTGGGTCTCCTAAGCTTTCAAATCTGGGCCTCTGGTGTCGATTGGAAGCGCCCTGCTTCAAGAGCCATATGTGACTCAATGTTGCCAAGCTTTGCCTGCAGAGGCCGTCAAGAGCCCCAATCTCCGTAGAGTGTAGATTGGACGCAGCCACCATCTTATATGGTATGCGAGTCCTCCGATACCAATAGCTACGAAAGCAGATAGTGGGGCCCCAGGCTGCCCCACCGGTCCAGAGCATGGGGAAGCAGAGAGCAGGGCCGCAGAGAGATTTTCTCCCTAGGGGAGAACCTTTAAGGGATACTATAGTCACCAAAACCGCTTTAGCTTAATGAAGCAGTTTGTGTATAGATAATGCCCCTATAGTCTCACTGCTCAATTTCCAGCAATTTAGGAGTTAAATTACTTGTTTGTTTACACAGCCTTAGCCACACCTCCCCTGGCTGTGACTGACAGCCTGAATGAAAACAAAATGGTTTAATTCAGTCATATGTTAACGCACTTTAAAGTTTCTCATCTCCTGATCTGTGTTAATTTAACACAGTCTCCTGCAGGGTCTAACAAGCTATTAGAGTAGGAGGTAAGATTGTCTAAATTAAAAACATAATTTGCAATAAAGTGTAAACATTAGATGATTCTTTACAGGTAGTGTTTAACCCCTTAGGGACCAAAACTTCTGGAATAAAAGGGAATCATTACATGTCACGTGTCCTTAAGGGGTTAAGAAGACTAAGTCACATGCAAGGATATATGGTTTAACACTTAAATGGCAGAGAACCGAGCAGTGAGACAGAGGATATGACCTATACAACAAAACCGCTTCATTAAGCTTAATTTTCTCAGTGACTATAGGGTCCCTTCAAACAGCAACATTACAATATTCAATTATAGTGTACTTTAAAAAAAAAAAAAAAAAATATTCTCATCTTGACAAAGATAGCGATATAACATTCGCAGAAAGGCTTGTGCAAAAGCCGAATGATTTGCAATACAATTTGCAACACATAGGAACAATGTTACACATATGAAGTCATTAGACGTTGCATAGTTTACACGAGAGGTTAACTTTTTCTGCTACCCGTCAAGGGTATTTTTTTTTGGGAGGTTCTTAATGGGCTAAGTCATGCATAGTCATCATTTGAGAGATTGGACATGTTATTCAGTAAATTACACACATTACAGAAGACAGGGAATGGGGGTACATGCAGACAATGGTGTTTCGTTAGGCAGATATTTTGCAACAGCTGGCCACCTATCAGTGAGGCGACGTGTGTAGACTTTACAAGATATGGTCACTATGAGCAACGTGATCATGCAAGAGCCGTCCTCCGGTTTGTATGTGCTATACTATTGATATTGTGTACTTTTAAATGTAGTGCTTTTTGCCAACATAAAATGTTGACAGTAAATCCAGAATCAATTTGAGAGTTCTGTGATTTCTCTGCTGCAAGTGGATGCATCAGTCACTATGTGGTGATACGTATAATGTATCTTGCATTGATTAAAAGGGACACGAAGAACCAAAACAACTTTAGCTTAAAAGGACTCTTACTTAATGTAGCTGTTCAGATAAGTATAGTCAATTTCTGCAGGCTCATGTAAATACTTCCTTTTTAGAGAAAAGGCAGTGTTTACATTACAGCCCAAGGACAACTCCGGTGACGACTGATTGCCACTGGAGGTGCTTCTTGGGTCACTGCTGCAGTGTCTGCATAGGGAGGCTGAAATTCCCCATAGAGATGCAGTGATTCAATGCATCGGAGGAGATTCTGAATTGCCAGGACGGCGTTTGGCTCCAGCCCACCTTCTTGGCTAAGATCAGAATTGGCAATCTCAGTCAATCCAATTGTGATTGGCAGAGATCATCAAATCTGAAGTCAGCCAAGGAGGATCGGGGAGCTGTCGCTGGTTGGAATAAGGAGAGTTTTAGCTTTAAGGGTGGTAGTGATTTTAACTATACAGGTTAAAGGAGTACTATAGTGTCAGGAACACAAACATGTAATCCTGATTATATAGGGTTAAAACCATCTAGCCACCCTGGTCCCCTCATGCCTCCCTAAATATAGTAAATCTTACTTGTATCCAAGTCTGCAGCTGCATGCTTTGTGCCCGTTTCCTTTAGACCTGCCCACTGCCTGCTGACACCAGCAGAATTGGTAGCCTGATTCAATCACAATGCTTCCCCATAGGATTGGCTGAGTCTGACAAAGAGGCAAATCAAGGGCAGACACTGAACTTTCCACATAGAGATGTATTAAATCAATGCATCTCTATGAGGAGATGCTGATTGGCCAGGTCTGTGTTTGAATTGTGATGGCTCTGCCCCTGATCTGCCTCCTTGATCGTCTCAGCCATTCCTATGGCTAAGCATTGTGATTGGATAAGGCTACCACTTCTGCTGAGGTCAACAGGTCTAAAGGAAACTGGCACAAAGCATGAAGCTGCAGACTTGGATACAAGTAAGATTTTACATTATTTAGGGAGGCATGAGGGGACCAAGGTGGCTAGATGGTGGTTTTTTTTTATCAATATCTTTTTATTGTGTAGAAAAGAGTGAAAGCAGATTCAATTTTGTAACAAGATACAAAAAGTTTCAAACAAAACAGCGGTAATCACAATGCATTACATAACATTCCCGGGCCATTGTTGGTCTCCCTTCTACCAGTATTTTTTATTATTGTGTGAAAGACACCCTAACTGGGCCATGGAAAGAGAAGAGAACCAGTTCGGGGTCCAGAATTTATCACTTAATGCTAGCTATAGGGCTCACGCCCAGTGGATTATAATAGATTCTGACTATCATTTTACATTCGCCTTTTCCATATGCTTGTAATGTCTCAGCCTGTCCCCCTATGTGTGAAACGCACCCAGGGAGACTAGAGTAGTGTGTATCACTGAGTGTTTGAGTAGAAAGGAATAGCAAGGGGGGGAAAGGAGAGGGAGAGGAGAGAAGGGAGGGGGCATGGTTTGGTTTTCTAGATTTATGCCTTTCATACAGCATCAGGGTGTGGTGGGAGTAGGTTTTATGCCTTCTCGTGAGATACTGTGCTCTGCTTAACAGGTAACGAGCGCACTGACACTGAGCTACATGAACTTATGTCATGGCCTCCGTCTTCATTCGGGTGCGTGTGCAGGGGTCCAATAGGACATTCAACCATTCACTGGCGGTAATTTAGATATATGGCCAAACGAGAGGTAGAGTGGGGGGGGGTAGCAGAGATGCACCCATTCTACTGGAGGCGTGAGTGGGGTTAGGGTCATATAATTGGAATATGCACATTGGCCTTGCCCCGGAGAAGCCCGAGCCCCCGCCGTCGGGTCACTGTCCTAATCCCCCGTGTTTCGTGATATGAACCATGGAAACCACCGTTCGGCATGTTTGTCCCCTCTATCCTGTAAGGATGCCTGTAGTGCTTCAGCTCCTTGGATATCCTCGACCCTGCGGATCCAGTCTTCTTCATTGGGGGCTAGATGGTGGTTTTAACTCTATAGGGTCAGGAATATATGTTTGTGTTCCTTTAAAAATGTGAACGGAATCAGAAGATCATCATGAAACCCAAAATAAATAAATAAATAAATAAATAAATATATATATATATATATATATATATATATATATATATATATATATATATATATATATATATATATATATAAATATATATATAATTTTTTTTTTTTTTTTTGCCAATTATGACTAAATCACAAAGTTCACAAGACCCAACAAATAGGTGTTCAAGAAAACCTTGAAATGAGGGTATAAATTTGTAAAGTCATAAGAACTGTTAAACCTAAAATTTAAATAAAAAATGGATTTGCCAGCAACATGGATCTAGGCATTTACATATTTGAAAAGATGTTCCAGTGAGTCTACTAGGCAACCACTTTAGCACAATTCCCTTCTAATTTTTACCTCTGAACTTTTTAGGTGGGTTACTAAGGTCTCCTGCCTCTGGCTGCACGACACACCGGTCATCCACCAATCTAGGAAAAAAGAACATTCTGAAAAGCATACCAACAAACAGCAAAATTATAAAACATCAGGATGGATTCAACTTACAAGAGTGTTATATGAGAGTTAAAGAGAATAAGAGATAAGAAATCTTTTGATACTATTTGAACAGTAGAGATGAGAGATATTGAAATGAAAATCTTACCCCAGTGTGCTTATGAATCCATTCACAGATCCCTCAGCATACAAGGACACTATGTCTCCTACATGGAGAAAGCTAGACATCTTGTCTGACATTGCTGTGTATGCTAGAAGAACATTAAGAAAGTTGGAGAGTCAGTCAACAGGTGTCCCAAACAGCCTTCCCATCTACTTTAACCCCTTAAGGACCAAACTTCTGGAATAAAAAGGGAATCATGACATGTCACACATGTCATGTGTCCTTAGGGGGTTAAAGGAACACTATAGTCACCTAAATTACTTTAGCTAAATAAAGCAGTATTAGCGTATAGATCATTCCCCTTCAATTTCACTGCTCAATTCACTGTCATTTAGGAGTTAAATCACTTTGTTTCTGTTTATGCAGCCCTAGCCACACCTCCCCTGGCTATGATTGACAGCCTGCATGGAAAAAAACAACTGGTTTCACTTTCAAACAGATGTAATTTACCTTAAATAATTGTATCTCAATCTCTAAATTGAACTTTAATCACATACAGGAGGCTCTTGCTGGGTCTAGCAAGCTATTAACAGAGCAGGGGATAAGAAAATCTTAATTAAACAGAACTTGCAATAAAGAAAGCCCAAATAGGGCTCTCTTTACAGGAAGTTTATGGAAGGCTGTGCAAGTCACATGCACGGAGGTGTGACGAGGGTTCATAAACAAAGGGATTTAACTCCTAAATGGCAGAGGGTGGAGCTGTGAGGCTGCAGGGGCATGTTCTATACACCAAAACGGCTTCATTAAGCTAAAGTTGTTCAGGTGACTATAGTATCCCTTTAAAGTGGACCTATACAACATTTCATTGTACAAACCAATACAATACCAATACAAACATTTCATTGTACACTAACCAATATTTGACCAGATAGGTGGAATTATTTACCAACTTTAAAAGTGTTACTCCAGCCATTCTAACCAAAAAAATACCCAAACATTTCAGGCTTACCTTACCTGAAACCCAGGGCTACCAAAGCCACGTTTGCCGGGTATAACTAGCACTTTGGCATCTGCTTGAAACACTGAACATCCAGAGGTATTTGTGCAATTTCCTTTCTCCATTACCATTTCAAAAAGCAGAAGTGGTAATGGCTGTTGGAGTAACTTTCATGAACCCTGATCAGCCTATGCAGATTCAGATGCCTTCGAGAGAAGGGTCATGAACTCTTAACAGGCTACCAAAAAAAAAAAAAAAAAGTTCAACATAACCCCTTTACTAGAGATCATATAACATTAACCATGTCTCTTCTTGAGAGAAACTGATCTTGAGTGTTCATGCAAATAAGTATGGAATATGGAGTTTTGCAAAGCGATCAAAGTTGCAAGGTATATCTGTGGCAAACTGGCCTTCGAAACCTATGAGAGAGTCAGTCAGGATCAGAAATCTGCTTACAGCATATGCTTTTGAATGAGAAGAGGGAAGTAGATTTTTCCTCTGGTTTTTCTGAGCAAGGAGTGGGGGTAGTGGATAGGGGTGAAGAGATGCATTGACCATGAATTGTAACTATGAGCATAGTTAAAGGTGAAATCTGATTTTAGGTTCTAGTGCAGGGGTTCCCAACCCAGCCCTCAAGTACTTCCTATCAGTCCAGGATTTAGGGATTACCCTGTTGTGTCTACAGTTTTTTTTTACCCATTCTAAAAAAAAAAACCCAAAAAACAAAACCCTTCAACACAACTGGGTAATTCCTAAATCCTGGACTGGTAAGGGGAACTTGAGGACTGGGTTGGGAACCACAATTCTAGTGCAAAGGTTAATGGGTTAGTCTAATAATGAGGAAAAAAAAAAAAGTCTAGAATGTCCTACTTGGCATAACTATTTCCCCCCCGCCCCCACATGCCTTGAACTTATTGGTCTCAGACATTGTCAAAAATTGCACTGATGTATACAACCATCTTTTGAAAAACAAAAAAATTATTCCTCTCATGTAAAAGTCTAAAAAGTAAACAATTACTTAACCGAAATCCAGCTGCAGGCCTAGCTCCACGTGCGAGGGCAGCATTGATTTTTGGTACATGCGAGAAAACAAAAACAGCAGGACCCAAATCAAATGATTCTCAAAGAAGTACTTGGTTGAAATGTTCTCACCAGCACGCTCCCTGAGCCAGAGATAAGAGGGATGAATGTGGGGGTGGACTAAGGCAAAGAAAAAACTGGTACGGCTCAAATAAAAAAATAAGGGGATAGATGCTTCTACTTGCAGGCGCAAACCCAGAAAGGTAGAAGCGAATAACCTCTGTGGCCAGAGTGAGCCAATGGCAGACATTTGGTATGCACAGATTTAACATTAGGCAATCCAGAATAGAGTCAAGTGCCCTCAGAACAAAAGTAAACAGATCTGCTTGAAATACTGCACAAATATTCCTTCTATCATGACCACTAACAGCAGAAATGGTGAGGGTGGCTGGAGTAACCCTTTAAGTTGCTTGAATTGACTTGTCCAAGTTTAATCAGATTTTTCACTTGTTCATAGAATGTAAATGTTCAATACACAGACACTGTCACTACACACGCCCCGTTCCCCAATTATCATGGGTTCTTTGAAAAGCTTTAGTGTCATTACATTTGCAGAGATGAACTCTCCCAGCTAAAACAGAAATAAACCAAAAGGTCTCAAAGTTATCAATAAGCACTCACCTAGGGTTTCAAACTAGACAGAATGCAGGGTGTCCTCACAGAACAAGTGTTTCTGCAATATAGAAACGAAAATTTAACAGTTACACGATTTCCAAAAGTTTTAGAATCGGCCATGCACACGCCTACAGAGAGCATTTTTATGTCGGACACTGGTAAGCATTTTTAAAATGTGTTAGATACAGGCTGATCAAAGAAAATTAGTACAAACAGGATTAGAAATATGGGGAAATTTGAGGAAGAGAACCTCTGAACCCTCAACTAGTTAAAAAAAAATAAAAAATATTCACATAAAGTTCTTCAAAAATGTATTTATATGATGCACTTCTAATGAAGTTAGAGTGTCAAGAAAAATGCCGTCTCTAAATTTACACTAAATACCATTCGGTCTATAGTCCGTTTATTTGCTGGTAGTAGATTGTACTTCTTGCTCCTCCTAGAATGAGGCAGTTCTTTCTACAGAGTAGAAAATAGGGGAAAATGATTCAGATGAGCAATCCTTCACACAAGGCCAAAATACAAAACAGGCCAAAAGAACAAACCGTTGCAAGTACAGCCTTGGGAACCAACTCTGTAAACCGGAATTTAAAGATACACTTGGCTCCCAGACCACTTTGTCTCATTCCTTAAGACAACCTCTAGTGGCTGTGTTCCAGAGAGCCACTAGAGGCGATTACTGCATTTTCACAGAGTACCTCTGAAAAGATGTTTGACATCCTCACGCTTTACATGAGGACGTCCACCATCTTCAAAATCTATGAGGAAGATGTAATGCACGTGCCCCTCACTGCTCATTGTGTTTCACCCATTGCCATGACATCAGGGAAAACTAAACCAACCCTGAGGGAAACCTCAAGCACTGTATTCCCAACACTATAGTGTTCCTTTAAACAAAAGTTGTGTCCACGCGCCAACAGCAATGAATCTTTGTGAAGCTGTACTGTAGGATCTACACAGTAGAATAAGGGTAGGTAACACTGCCACCAGATGTTGTGGACTAGATATCCCCTGATGCTTTAGCAGTCCACATCTGGTGTGCTGAAGGTTGCGTACTCCTGCTGTAGAATACATTTTCCTTCACTTAAATACCTTGTGATCTGCAGGTTTAGTGAAAACTTGGTGGAATCAGTTGTCTAATTAACATCAGGAGAAAACCTGAAATACTGTATTCGAAAAATTGCTTTTGAAGTATTAGTTTGGTCCTTTAATATTACTTATTTGGAGGTTGACATACCATTTGAGGTTCAGAGGGTTTGTCAAGGGAATAATGACATGCTCAGACATGGAGAAGTCAATTAAAGGGACACCCTAGGAACTAAAACAATTTTCAAGCCGTTTAACACTGTATAACACTGGGAGGATAGTGCCAGAGATTAAATGGTTAAAGGGTCCCTGTCCCTCGCTGCCCGACTGCTACAGAGAGGTATGGAAAAGGCAGAGATTACAGAGTACCGTCTAGCCATACCAATTCATACCACCGATGACATGCTGAAAGTGTCCAGGCAGCCACAGCCACCCAATATTGCTCAATTTAATGCTTCCTCAATGATGAAACATTAAAAACATTAACACTGAACGGAAGGACAACACCACTGGGATCCAAACAGCACACCCTTCATTCATTTAAAACCATAAATATGACAGATCAGCACATGAATTTAAATGTTGCTTTTAAAAAAGTTGCTCCACCAAACACATGTACTTTTATAGGGTCAACCTGGAAAAGATTTTTGTGAGCAGGATAGATTAACCTTTGGAATTTTTTTTTATTCAACATAAAAAAATTAAAGGGGATTGTTATGTAGCATGAGACTATTAATTTTCAGTAAATTAATTCCATTAATTGAACTTGTGTCTACAGAGATAACATGTTCACAGCAGAAACGTTCTAAAATAAAACGTTTTAAGAAAGACCTTGTTATTCTGATAATGTACACACAAGGAACAGTTTACCTTTAAGAATTACTTTAAACACCATGACCACCTCAGTCATTTGAAGTAGTGATGGTGCACGAGTCTGCAGAATTTCATATTGAACAGCTGCACATACATACGAACATATTTTATATTTTTGTCAGAGGTGTAATAAGTCAAGAGTTACAGGTTGGATCGTGTTAACTCTGCGCATAGTCTTTGCACAGTGTTATTCATTGCCCGAAAGCGCTCAGCTAACACCCTCAGCCAACGATTGACTGGCTGGATCAGCATCTAGCTTTTTTTAGAAACCTGATACTTGTCATCCAGCATCAGAGAAGATTATTCAGCTAAAAAATATTTTTAAAAAAGGATTATTTTTTTAACCATTAAACATTTATGATTAAAACAAATGCATGCATATTTACATTTTAGTTAAATAAAACAAATTTGAATTGTTCTCCAAGTAGGAGTGATTAACCTATTAAACAGGGGAAGTTTAACTTTTGAGACCAGACTCTACAGGTC